GTAAGGCTGCTCCTCTGTCTTGCCACAAGAGCCACAGCTTTCCCACCTTCTTGCCATGTGGTTTTAATTCTTCTCCCTACCTTGCACACCTTGCTCACCTGAGAGCACCGACTGCCTCTCTCACCCAGGGTCTGTGAGTGCCCTCCCAAAGACAGAGCTCTGCCACACGTGCCTGGTTTGTGGCTGTGCTTCCAGCAGCGACTCCAACACAAGCCTCCAGCCATCCTTCCACCAGGGCTGACAGTGCCAGCACCTTCTCTGAACAGGGCTTAATTCCATTGCAGCAAGTCAGTTTCCTCACACTCACCATAAACAGCTTGTTTTCAAGGCTCCTGATTAAAATGGAGATGCTAAAAATATTTACTCCTATTTTGCAAACCTTAGAAGAAGAAGAACAACAACAATAATAAAACCCCACAAAAAGCAACAAACCAACCAACCAAAAACCCCAGCAAAACCTAGTATGTGTTTTCCTGATGCCAGAGGACTAGGGGTGGCATCTCCTAGAGGGATCTGCTGGGCTAAAAAAGGAAAATGAGAGTTTCTTCTGCCCCCAGAATTAACAATGAATTAACCGACGGGAGCAGTGGCTTTAGGAGAGGACCTGTTCCTCTGCTTTTGGATGGTTTCCACAGAGAGGTTTGAGGCAGGGGTGCAGTCAAGAAGAACTGAAGGGTAAGCAGAGTTTTTGCTTATTTTAAGCAATGCAAAGTTTGCAGTTTTCATAATACAGCAAAGAGCACATGACCCTGATAAGTTATTTATTGCAACACCTCTGAATTAGCAAAAGGTGCCTTTGCTACCCCCACAAAATGGCCTTTATAAATCTTCTTCCTCTGAAGTGCCAGATCTGCCAACTCTGAAAGAAAAAAAGAGATGCTGGTTCCAGTGCTATAGCGTGTCCTGCACGTAGAACTGGTGGCTCAAAGGACTCACAGACCTGACTGAACACTCACCTGGATCTTTCTCCACTTCAGCTTTAGACTTAAGCCTGCAGTAAGAAGTAAAGGAGTTACTTAATATAGAAGAGATGTCGTCTCAGTAGGCAGAAAAGCACCGCAGGTTGTTCAACCAGCCACGTGTAGTTGCCAAGTTTGTGGTCCCACCTGGCCCTGCTCATGGGTGGCTGTCACCCTGACGGGCCACCTCAGACCCAGCTCTCGGGTGACTGGCTACAGCCAATTTCTCTGGCTTAGTCATTTCTCCCATTCATGGCCACACTCAGACCAGGTGAAAAACTCCAGAATTATCTTTGTTCCAAGTGTATCAGTTGGAAGATGCTAAAAACACTGGCATCCTTTGCACTCACACCAGCACATTACAGCACTGGGTTTCCAGGCAAGCACCAGGACCTGCCTGAACCTAAGCCTTGGAGAAACCTTCCAGGGCACAGCCACCTTCTTGAGAGCAAACTTCAAGCAGTAAAACTTCAAGTCCCTAGACACAACACCACAAGCCATCTTCTGTCCCTCCAGTAACCACAACAAGGGACTGCATCGAAAAAACATTCAAAAGAGCCCATATCTGTGAAAAGCTCCCATCCTATCTCCAAAGGAATTCACTAATGCCCTGAGTGGGAAGCTGCCTACCAGCTTGAGCTAAAAAATAATTTAAAAAGCCATATTCCATAGCTGAAAATCACTACCAGCCTGCATCCCCCTTGAGTGCTGTCCACAGCAGTGCATATCACGCACCAGCAGCCCTTTGTCTTTTATTAGTGACTTCTGACCCCGAGGGCAGTTTTCATTTCTTGTCCACTTTCCCTGCTTGAGAAGCAGCACACGCTGGGGGCAGCGGGGCCGGCCCTGCCTTCCTTTCTCTGCCATTTGCTGCTCTACAAGAGCAAAGCCTTGGGGCTCCGAGCACCAGGGGACCCGCCGCAGCCCTGTCCTTCAGCAGGAGCCACTCTTCTACAGCAGGGACTGAAACAGCTTGAAGGCTTCCTGCATCTTGTGTAGAGGACATAATTAACCCTTAAATTGACCTTAGTGAGATCCACCATTCACGCTGTGAAAAGTAGGCAAGACAACACAGAGGGGAATGGGCAGGCGTTGTGTTTGGCAGGGTCTGCAAAGGAAACCATATTTTAAAGTGTGTTTGAAGGGGATAACAGGGAAAGTCTTCAGAAGGAGGAGAAGTTCCCAAATGAATTCCAGAAGACAGAGTGGAAAAATGGCCACAAGCATTTCAAAGCCAAGCTGTTCTGCAACTTCTGAAGAGAAATCTCAGAGGTGCTAACCATCGTATGTTGTCTTCTATCCTCAGACACCAGGAAACAATTTAGGGACCTCTCCTCAGTGGAAGGAGTTCTTATCTCATTCCCAGTTTTCCCAGTAGGAGAAAGCAATCTGACCCAGGGTTACGAGTAGAGGTTATCTGAACAGAGGTGGCCTGCTCCCTAAGCCACCTTCCTGTTACTGCATTGCATTAAAAATACAAGATAACATTTAAATCAGTAATTCTGTATCTTTTCAAACAGCATAAGGAGACAGTCAATTAAGATGCTACAGTGCACAGACCCACATCCGTGCTGACTCTTCAGGGAGCTTACAGGGTCAGGGTTAGTAGGTTCCTCTGCAGGACTAGTATCTGCAGCAAGGAACGACTGATGGCAAGAACATCACCCTAGGTGGTTTAGGGCATGTCTTCATGGTTACCTGGATTTGGGTAAGGAAACAGGAGATTTCTTCTTTAGAATCAGAGTCATAGAGTTGTCCAGGCTGGAAGGGACCTCCAAAGGTCATCTAGTCCGACCTCCCCACAGTCAGCAGGGACACCCCCAACTAGACCAGGTTGCCCAGGGCCTCGTCAAGCCTCTCCTTGAATATCTCCAGGGATGGGGCCTCAACCACCTCCCTGGGCAACCTGTTCCAGTGCTCCACCACCCTCACAGTGAAGAACCCTCTCCTAATCTCCAGTCTAAATCTGTTCCCCTCCAGGGAACCCATCCTGGCTTTAACTTTATACCCATTTTAAAAGTGGCAGTGGGTAGCAAGGGTAAAAGCATTTTACATACAGCCAGTGCTTCTGAGGGGTGATGTTCAGCACGTAACACAACAGCTCAGCGAAGCAGAGGCAGCACACTGGCAGTAAATGAGCACGTCACAACAATTTGTCTCAACTCCTGCAGAGGCAATTTAACATCATTTCAGTGACAGTATATCAAGAACACACAGGAACTCACTGTCATGTCAGCAAACTTTTATTTATTTATTGCTGTCAATATGCACAGTAAAGGAAGACCCGATGTGGCTGCCTCCTGAGTACAATACTTCTGTAAAGTCTGATCCTGTGGCTTTTGGTGTAATAAGATGAAAGTTGCTGCATTCACAAGCCACAGGGTGATTTTCCTAATGGCCTGAATTACAGATATGCTCCCTGGCTGTCCTTATTTCTGTCCTTTCCAGCATCACATAATATAGACCTTGTAACTGGAAAATAGCCAGAGATTATGTGAGGACAGCGTAAAAGGGGAAAACCAGCTTTGGATTGCTTTCTCAGAGCCCTTCAGCCTCGTAGGAGCAAGAGTTCATTTGTGGCTTTCTAGCACGCAAGCACGAGTGGAAAAAACCACAGAAGGATCAGGGATGTTAAGGAGGGATGCAAATCCTTTTTTCCATGTCGACTGTCATGACAAAAATGCCAGCCTTCAGTGCAGGAGCTCCCATTGCCTGGCAAGGTACTGGTCAGTAACTGCCTGAAGTGGAAAGTATAGGCTGTGCCTTCGATGCTTTTCCTCTGGTCACACCAGAGTGACTCCCTCCAGGAGCATCACACCCTCCCAGGACATTCCTCCACCCAGCATCAACGCCTCTCCTCTGGCTGGCAAGCCAGGGCTCCCTCCCATGCCTCATCCCTGATTTCTCCCTAGAAACAGCACTGAATTGGTAGGGAAAGACTGAGGTGGCCAGAAGTCAAAGCCTGGGACTGGAGAGCATCACAGTCTGCATGGGATGGGTAAACAGTGACCCTGATGCCACTGGACATCCGTAATACCCAGGGGTACTGGGGAGGGGTACAGCCCTGAAAGGCCCAGGGAATCTGCACTTCAGAGCCCCTGAGCACTAACTCTGCCTCTGCTGCTAACTTCCTTCACCTTTGTATCATTTATACCTTTGTTTCCCAATTAATACCACAAGGATAACAGCTTGAGCGTGCTCGTTGTGTGTTCTGTGAGCACCCCACAGTGCCATTACGATGGCACGGGTAATTATTACCCAGCTGCTTGCTTAAAGAAGGTGGGAGAGGCTGCAAGGTTTCTCCACACCAAAGTGGTTCCTCTCCTGGAACATACAAGATGGACACACGTAGGGCAAATCCTCCTCTGCAGTAACCACGTGGTGAGCACTTGGGAGGGGATGGAGGCCAGCCAGCAGCTCACCTCTGAACAGGCTGTCCACAGCGCCTCTCCCAATCCAGCCAGAGGTCCCAGCTGGACTGAGATAACCTGGATTGCAATTAAGAGGGCTGGTAGAGAGCAGTACAAAGCCTCAGGCACAGGCTATTTACTGCAGCATGTACAGAGCTGACTTTCCCCACTCCCACAGCCCTGACAGCTTGCTGCTGGCAATGTTTAATTCTCCAAGTGATAGCGGGTCTTGTGGCTGGACACTCACCCACCTGTCCTCCAGCTTATTTTACAGAGGTGATAAGGAAGCCATCAGAGCTGAGTCAAAGGCTCCTCCACACTCAATCTGCCTACGGATAACACCTTCTGCAGCACATAGCTCTGCTCCTCCTCCTGGCAGTGACATGTCCCAATGTTAAAAAAAAAAAAAAAAAAAAAAAAAAAAATCAGTACGAAGCACACAGAGAGCTTCATGTCACAAAGCACTCCCTGAATAAGCTTTCCAACTCAGCGGTAATGATTCCAGTGAATTGCATGTCCTAAGTAAATTAATGCCTACAATTCATTCTTGTTGAATTCTGATGTCTCATTATATATCATTCCCTAAAAAAAAAAAAAAAAAAAAAAAAAAAGTGCAAACAGGGCCCCGGGATGTTCTGCCCACAGTCAGCACAACCCAACCCACCCTCCAGCTCACATCGATGCCACTGAGTTACCTATAAGCTCTCCTCTGCACATGATCCTCCTTGGAGCCAAATCCACAGCATCCTCAGGTTGTCTTCACCTTGTATTCCTACTGTTTGCTTGAAATGATGTAGCATCAAGAGAATGGCCTGTGTTTGATATTATTGACTACACCTGGGAGGCTGGGACTGCTGTGGTCCTCAGGAAGCGTGCAAGGAAATGTGCCCCACCAAAGTGCTGGTGGCTGGGGGTGTGCAGAGAGCTGTTTCCTAGACAGGATGAGGCAGCAGAGGGTAAGCTGTGTCCAGCTGGGGAGGTTACACCAGCTGGAGCACGGGCTGATAAAAGGACTTTTGCAGAAGCACTTGTGTTTGGCAGACAGAGTAGACAGGAAAGGAAAGGAGAGGCACTTCCTAAGCTACGGTCTGTGGTTCACTTTAACACCAACCGTGGTGTCTTGGTGAAACATGGCTTAACGTAAGCAGCTGAAGCAAACAGATCTGGAGTGATCAGCAGAGAAGGTCTGCCGGGCTACAGGGAGCATTCAAACTAAAGCAAAGCCACTAACTGAGGGAATTGCCTACACACAACTTTCCCCCGCTTTCCCCACCAAAGGGCAAATGTCCCTTCTGACCCTAGTGCCCCATGGCATCACCTCTGTGGAGCTGAATGGCAAGTTGAGATCAGAAGCCCCCTCCCAATGAGAGTCACTTTTCCTCCCCCAAAGCAGAATCCTTTTGCGACCTCATGATTTGATAGAGGGTCTTCCTGAAGTGATGGTCCCGGCTCAGTCTTTTGGCTGTTTCTTTCAGCTCCTCGATGTTTTCAGCTTCTGCCTGTGAGTAGATGAAGGACTGGGACTGCTTCACTGAAACAAGAAACAGCACAGGAAGGTCAGCACTCTCCGTCAGGGACACAGACTGAAGGCAAAGCTTCACTGGAGCACACGAGCCATGCCATCAACACGACTGAGAGCCTGGCGAGGGATGAGCTAACCATTGCACTCTAACAGCTTCACCAGACTGCTTTCAGAGGAGGAAAATGCTGACAGCATAGAAACACAATTTTCTTTTTTACAGCTGCCTCTGATTTAGGGCTCTACATAGAACCTGATCTAACCTTGCAGGTAGCCACCCTGAGCACTGGATTGGACATTGTCCAGGGGTCCCTTCCAACTTAACTCAGTCTATGATTAAGCATCCAGATGAGGTTAGCTTTGAGCATATGGTTTTTTAGGGGCCCAGGACCATCACAGCAGTTATCTTTCAACATATATGAAGAGACAGGAAACCAGCAGGCAGACTCAGTGCCTGCTCTCTGAGTATGGGAAGCTCCAGGTTTCTCTGTAGCTTCATTCTGCTACTAGGGAATATGAAATAGGAACCACGTTTGCAGACCTTACTGCTCTGTCAGCCCCATCAGCACGTATCTATTCCTGCAGGACACAGAGTAAGAAGCTGCCTGCTACCTACTGTCATTCCATGAAGCGCTGGCTCTCCGGCGGTGGAAGCGGCAGCTCTTTATGCGACGGGTGGCAGCCTTGTGGAGGTACACAGAGTTCTTCATGATCACTGGCATCTTGGCCTCCAGCTCGGCATTGCGGATGCACTCTTCAAAGAACTCTGAGGAGAAGACACCACCGTGAGCAGTGATGGGAGAGACACTTCAAGCAGTGAACCAGTCATGAAGGATTGCACTCACTAATGGGCTGAACCAGGTAATGACATCCAACACCTCCCTTGATCTTCTTGAGCAACAATCCATGAAGCTCTAGAATATCATGAGGCTGAACAAATTCAAAGTGACAAAAACCTCCAGTCCCCACTGAACGCATACTCAAATTATGGAAAGAACTGCAACCATCCATTCCCCATCAATCACTCCCACAACTGCTCATGATTCAACTGCCCAAATCCTCTGATACTATGATAAAACTTCCCAACTCTCTTCCAACAGCGGGGTCTGAAGCCTTGCTTGTCACACTTTTTTGGAAGGACTTCTAAAACCAGTCTAACTGCAGAAAGGGAGGTGTTGGCAACACTGGCATGGGCACACATGCCCAGGCCATACAGGGCCAGGGATTTCTTAATTGCATAGCAAATACTAGCACAGACATACATACATTACAGGATCCATGCAAAGCCCCATGTCCAAACTCTGTTATTCTGTCCTGATCTGCCACATAAGCTGCTTTTCCTGGTCCGTTTTCCCTCTTATGGTCTAACTGGCTATTGGGTTTGCTTGGCAAGGTTTTGATAGCTACCAGGGTGGCTTCTGTGAGAAGCTGCTAGAAGTTTCCCCCATGTCCAAGAGAGCCAATGCTAGACAGCTCCAAAACAGACCCACCTCTTCCCACGGCTGAGCCCATCAGCAACAGTGGTAGCACCTCAGGAACAACATAGTTAAGGGGAAAAAAAAGTACTGCATAGCAGCAGCCAGAAGAAAGGAGTGAGAACGTGAGAGCAGTAACTCTGCAGACACCTTTACAAAGGTCAGTAAAGAAGGAAGGGGAGGTTCCCAGACCTGACTCAAGCCAGATGCTAGGGTAATGCCCCACCTTAAAAAAAGGAAAGGCAAAGAAATAGGGATAAGCTGTGAGGAACCTGAATTTTAAACCTGACTTGTGTACTGTAATCATCTCAGCACAGCAATGCTGGGCTGATGCAAGGATTCAGCTCTGAGTAAGGATCCAAATTTCACCTGTTGGTCACCTACCAGCATGTTGCTACAGCAACCACAATGCTGCATAAACGGCTCATATTCTTGTAACCAAGGCTGAGAATATACTGTCTTGAGGGCAATCATAGGACTCTTTATAACTCAGGCCTAGTCAGTCTTTACAGCTCTGCAACAGCTTCCCTGTTTGACATTTTGGAAAACATTTGCTCATCTCTGCCCCTTAGTTTGTCTTCCACCCAACAGCAAAGGCTGGGATAATTTTGCTCTCTGAGGGTAAAACACTAAGTGCCTGCATAGCACCTTCCTCAAAAGGAAGGTGTGGCTGAAATAAAAGGAGCTCAGAGAGCACATTATGTGCAGATTTGCTAATTTGGGAACTCCTTTTTGTGTCTGGGAAGATAGATAGAAATATTTCCTCTCTCAGAGCTTGCTCATCAGCAGAGAGGATGGGTGACTGACTTACTTCTCAGGTGGCTGACATCTGCTTTCATCTTCTCCTCTTTCTCCTTGTTGCAATCCAGAGAATTTAAGCCTTGCTCCAAGCTCTGCAATGCTGCCTCAGCTTCCCTCAGTCTCTTCTCCAGATCCATGCGCACCTTCACCTCAGCCTGAGGAAGAGGATAAGCATTGCTGAAAAACAGCTTGTGTCTCAATACACACCCTGCTAACTCACAAGCACTGTGAAGGACTCACCAAGCAGATGAAAACAAAAAGGGAACAGTAAGGAAAAACAGTAGAAATACTGTAAGACAACACAAAAGTTGTTACTCGTGTCTTCAGACAGAATCTGAAGTCCAGATTATTTTAGTAATTCTCCTTTACTCTGACTTTTGTGCAATGAGAGGGAAGCTGTGAAAATGAACCCTGTGGAATGAGAGACAGCGCTTCAACACGTGAATTTGTGCTTATGTGATACTTGCAGTGAGCAGGAACAGGAGGACATCTTTTCAGCTGAGAAGGACTTGAGATAAAGGCAGCCAATTCCCACAAAGGGGCGTACAGTACTTAGTTTCAGAAATCAAACACAAGAAAACTCAGAAATAAAGAATGATATCAGTAGTAGCGTAGCAAATGAGAATACCTAATACAGCTTAGGTCAATTTAGCTTTAGTTTGGCCAAGTGGAAGGTTACAGGGTAAGAAAATCATGGAGGTGCAGGAAAAAGAAGAATTAGGGGTTTTTTTGACAAAGTATTTGTAGGAGGAGGTTAAGTGTCAAACAGCTAATAATAAGCTTAACTTTAACATTACTTAGATTAAAATAAAATAGCATACTTTGTCCAATTGCCTTTATGTAGATTAAGGTATCTTCCATTACTGGGATAACGAAGGATGGCTTGTACCTCACTTGCATTCCTCTGCTTTTGAACCCAAGCTCCTGCAGAGGTTCCTGAAGATTTAGAAATCTTAAAATTGATTCTCTGAGCAGACGTCAGGAGGGAAGATTTCTGCTCAGTTCTGCAATGTCCATACTAGCGTTTCTTTGAAATCTTTATTCTTTTCCCTTCCCCCTCCCCCCTCCATGGAGCTTTCACGAAGCAAATGAAGACTTTTACTGAATGGGTGAATCGGGCCTCAGAATGAGAAAATAAATAGTAGTGCTACATAGATACAACATGGCAACTTCACACCTTACCATGACATGAATGAAGATTTCCAAACGCAAAATAAAACCTCGTCCCCCACTTAACAGGGGATGAACTGAAAGGGAAAATGAGAGAACTCTGGGGCCGGGGACAGCAATGTGACACACACAGGGGATACCTTGAGGTCTCTCTCCGCCTGCTGCTTCTCGGCAGTCAGCTCCGAGAGCGAGTTCTGCAGCGCTCGGGACTGGGAGGAGTAGAACTCCCGCTCCTCCTCCAGCGCTCGGGACCGCTCCTCGTTCTCCTTCATCCTGGGGCAGGGCACAGCAAAGGGAGACAACCATTCCCACCCCAGCACAGCTCACAGGAAGGAAAGGGCTCGCTGTTGTGGTGGGACGTGCTTAATTACCTGGCTGCCCTGAGCAAAGAGACACTAACAGGAGCACACTCTGTGTTGCACCTCAATAACACAGGCATTGCTGGAGGAAGCCAGGTGGACAGTTCTTTAATGGGACATTCTCAGCCCCCAGAAGAGGTCCAGAAGCACCAAATACTTCATACGCACAAGTCCATGAACACCAAATGGATTCACATGCCTTAGCCCTGATGTGAAATGAGCAGGCCCAAGTGGCCCCAAGGCGTTCAGCTGCCTTGCCTCACTCTGCCCATCCTCTCTGGAGTGTTTATAACCCAAACTCCTGCCATGAGAACCAGACAAGCTTCTGGACTTGTCTTGTGTTGGCAACCAACAAGCAAGACAGCAGACAGCTACATCATTTGGCACCACTAAGCCTGAGCAGGGAAGAAGTGTCCTTTTCCCTTTACCACAGCCAAGAATGGAAACTGTAAAGGACCTTGCCTCTCTACAGGTCTCAGGATAAACAGAGGAACAGTTTTGAAGTGATCTTAATTTTAAGCCTGGAAATGTCTAGCCAAACCCGTTTAGATTGCTTCCCACCCACAAGGGGGAAAACTACCTCTTTTCCCACCACCCTCTTCACACTGGATGGCATCTTGTCCCATATCCCCATCTCTGGTATCGATGACCAAACCAGGACAGCCCCTGCATCACCTCTTCTCTGCCAGGAGTTTCTCCTCCAGAAGTTGCTGCATCTTCTCTTCAATCTGTTGCAGGCTGCAGTGCAGTCCCCAGATGGGGCTCTGCTCCTTGCTGGGGCTTGTTGGCGGCAGGACCTGGCTCTCATTTTCTTCCAGCATCTCCAGCATTTGCTGCTTTTCCAGGGAGAGCTCCTTGAAGAAGGACAGAGATTGTGAGTATCAGCCAAATCTAACATTTCTGCTCCCGTTCCTGCCTGGCTTCTTTCTCTTAAGTCCCTCCATCCTTACACCCACATTCCTCATTCAGGTTAAAAACAGGAGAAACAAAATCTGCCTCTTGAGGAGCAAGGCTCCACCATAGCCTTCCCTATGCAATGGAATGAGAACCTGGAGGTTTTCTGAAGGGGATTTTGGCCTTCATATCAGCTACTGAATGAATCTTTCCATCTGCTCGGGGCTTAACTCCAGCACTGGTAGATGTTAGATTCATTCCACAGGACAGCATTGCTTTCAGGCCTGGTCAGTTCTCATGGCTCATTCCCAAAACGTTGTCACTCAGAGAGGAGAAGTGGTCACTCACCTCTAGGGTTTTCTGTAAGGACTGTGTCAGGCTTCGCAACTCTTTCTTTTCTTCCTCCACTCCTTTAAGGGAGCGGGCTGTGAGCTCTAGCTCCCTAAAGAAGCAAGAAAGGTGACAGGTAGTGCAGGGGAACGCTAGCCTCACAGACCTCACTCAGACTCTGCAGGACCTGCCACCTGTGGTTGGTACAGGCAGCCCTGGAGAGTCCAGAGCTTGTCAGGAAGCATCCCTCCTTGAACACACTAGAGGCATCCAGAGACTTTACTGTGCCTCCTGATCATCAAAACAAAACCAGCTGTGAGCGTGCTTCTCTAGGAAGGGAACTACAACTGGGAGAGCTCAGACAGGACAGTCATATCGAAGCAGATGTAGGTCTCTGAAAACAAAAATGGTTTGCAAAATCACACTGGCGTTTCTCAGGGGTTACTTAGGGAGAGAAAAAGAAAAAAAGAGGTAAAAAAAAATAAGGTAATGGCAAAACTTGCCCTTTCAACACTTTGGGCAAAGCACTTGGATCCTTCCCTTCCTAAATACATTTGCTGTTCATATTTTGCATAGTGTAATTCTTAAAATGTCAAAATTATTCTTGGTGAGGCAGCTTCATCATCCACCCAGTGTCATTCAGCCAATGGTAGAAGACTAGATTGAGATGTCTGGAGCCCACACGGTTGGTCAATCAAACTAATTACCTTTCCAAAATCCTCTAGAACCTGTCCATTGCCATGCTACTCCAATTAATCTAGGGTTTGTTCAAGTCCCAGCTTTTTGAAAATGAAGTTGCTGGAGCGCTGGATGCAAAATGAAATATAGTTGTATTCTATTGGTCACACAAGTGATAACAAATGCGGGTAAACAGATCTCGAACATTCCTGTCTTGGTCAATATAGCATTTATCTCCTTCCTACGTGCACAAAATAAGTGGATTTTAGGGACTGTTTTGATTTGCCACCGCAGCAGCACCTCTCCCCGGTGTGGGAGTCCGTGTCCTTTCCTGCCCTGAGCAGTTTGTGCCTCACCGTCTGATCTGTTCCTGCTCCAGCCGCAGCTCCCGCACCACCTCTTCAAACCGCTGCTTCTCTGCTTCCAGGACCTGGTTCAGGCGCTCGAGTTCCTGGACCAAAAGAGAAGACAGGAATATACTCTGATGACACAGTTAGGAAAGGCTTCCTGTTGCCAATGCCTGGGTCTTTTAACCTGAGCTATCGTAGAGCCACAGGGTGTCTGATTCCACCATGCTTTTGTCCAGGGGCGATTAGAAGGAATTGAAGGTTGGCTGAGGTTTTCCAGACATCCAGAAGTCCCCGCCAGGTTCTCAGACACCTGGAAATTCCAGACATGCTCCATGCACAGATCAGTGCTGCTGCACCTGTACAGAAGGTCCCAAGCTCCCTGGGAAAGCTGGACTCAACATGCATGTACCATTTCCAGACACCCACATGAGCAGCTACAGACGCCTGGAGAGGAACGTGACAGCCCCAGCACTGCTGCACCTGAAGTGTGCTATTTCTACTAGCTCAGCCTTGCTGTCCATCCCCACTGGGACAGGAAAACACCAACTGTGCAGTTAGAACTTTGCACAGCCTGTCACTGCCTTTGTGCTAACAAAACCATGCTTAAAGAGCACTGAATACCACAAGGCTCACAGCAGGTCAGACCACCACAGAGCTATATATTCATTCCTTCATCAGTAACAAACTCCTCCAAGCTAACCTGGCCCCATCAGTTCAGAGGTACCATGCACAGCTTTGCCAGAGCAGAGATTTCTTCCAAGGTTTTTTGGACAAGGGCATTTCCCTCCCGATGGCTTTGGGCTGCGCAGCAAGCTACCTCACCAGAAAGGGATGTCTCCCTCCAAAAGCAGAGGTAGCTTAGCCTAAAGGAGCATCCAAGCCACCTCTTCAGATTTCACCTCTTCAGAAACGCACACAGGAAAAACACAGACCTGAGAAGCCTGGGTCAGCATTGCCATCTTTTGCTAAAGATGGGCAATGGTCATTTTGGATTAACTGGAGAAGAGAGCATGTGGCAGTTTGCAGGACTGTGATGTGGTGAGTCTGCATCCATGCAGGATGTCCTACCATGTATTAGGACAACTCATTTGCAAAGTTTTGTTGCAATAACTTTATGATGGTGCTATAAAAACTGGTATAGATTTGGTGTAAAAATGAGAATGAGGTACTTTTATTATATTAAGCAAATACAGGCTAGGAATAGTTTGGAAAATAATAATAAACTTGACAAATTAGGGTACAATAGTCACATCTGAGGAAATGCTCTCTTGGACTTCCCCTAGTGCAATGTCTATTATTCTCCCTATCTCTGGTGTGTCCAAAGAGCAAACCACGTTGCTGCTCCTTGCTTCTTGTTGCACCACCTCTACACTAGAACAACGTCAGGTGTGTTTGTTTGCTTTCAGACTGTGGAGACAGACAGGTTGATTGCCAGAGTCCTCTTGAATCTACCCAATAACAAGTATTTAGTTCAACCCAGTGAATATGAATTTAATCTGACGTTCCTCCCTGGTCCTCCTGGAGACATGATCACAAGTACGCTGCATGGAAAGTGCCAGGGAAGGGGAGCAGGGATACACCTCCAGAACCTATCCCATGGCACAACTCTTATTCCTCTCTTCATCCCCAGGGCCCAGAGGTCGGCTGGGGACCCTTTTGGCTCCACAGCCTCCCTCCCTGAAACCTGTTGTGTTCTCAAACCAACAACTCCCAGCCTCCCAGCCCTGCCACACGGAAGCTGAAGGAAATTGGCTTGTGATGAACACTCACCTCTTTTTGCTCCCTCTGCAGACACAGCTCTTCTGTTTCTTCCATTAGCTTATCTGCAAACACACACAAAGGCCAAATGTAGAGAAAAGCAATTTATATCCTGGGGGTATTTGTGAGTATGAAACATTGACTGGAGCTTGAAAACGCAGCGTTCCCTAGTGCTCTGAACACATCTGTCTGGGAGACTCCAAACGCTGAGATGACACTAATGGGATATTCTGTAATTTCCCTCCTGCCAAATAACTTAATAAACTAAACAGCCATATTGCTGTGTACTGCTTCCAAGGGTTCCTCTCAGTGTTCTTAAAGAGCATTAACAATCTAACCTTCACCATCCTCTAGCTGAGTTAGGAAAATATCCTTATCTCTGCTTCACACAGAAGGAAGCAAAAGCACAGAAAGGTTAAGTGGGTGCACCGTGTAGCAGCAGCCAGTTCTCCTCCTGCAGCTCAGTGTCCCATCCCTCTCCTTCAGCCCCCAGGCATCACTGCCAGCTTGCTGTTGTCACTTTTGGATGCTCCAGCCAAGCCCAGAAATCAATCCCCTAATTTAGCCACAAAACTTTTAGCTGTGAGGAATAGTTCCTCTCAACACAGAATCATAGAACAGTTCAGTTTGGAAGTGACCTTTAAAAGTCATCTAGTCCAACCTCCCCTGCAGTGAGCAGGGACATCTTCAACTAGATCAGGTTGCTCAGAACCCCGTCCAACCTGACCTTGAATGTTTCCTGGGACATGGGATCTACCACCTCTATGGGCAACCCATTGGGGTGCCTCATCACCCTCGTTGCCTAGATCAGGTTGCTCAGAACCCCGTCCAACCTGACCTTGAATGTTTCCTGGGACATGGGATCTACCACCTCTATGGGCAACCCATTCGGGTGCCTCATCACCCTCGTTGCAAAAAAGTTCTTCCTTATATCTAGTCTAAATCTGCCTTCTTGCAGTTTAAAGCCATTGTCCTATTGCAACAGGCCATGCTAAATAGTTTGTCCCCATCTTTCCTGTAGGCCCCCTTTAAGTACTAGAAGGCTGCTATAAGGTCTCCCCAGTGTCTCCTCTCCTCCAAGCTGAACAACCCCAACTCCTTCAGCCTGTCCTCATAGGAGAGGTGCTCCAGCGCTTCTGATCGCTTTTGTGGTCCTCCTCTGGACCCACTCCAACAGGTCCATGTCCTTCCCATGCTGAGAGCTCCAAAGCTGGACACAGTACTCCAGGTGGAGTCTCACATCAGTTTGATCTTGTCTACTGAGAAGAACACATGCCCACCAGAGATTCTGCTCTGACCTGATGTACCTGTGTTGTGCTAAACTCTAACCTTAAACAGAGGCTCTGCCTTAGGCAGCTTAGTCACACTTGCAGGAAACTAGACAGAAACACGTTCCTCACAGTCAAGCATGCTGGCATCTCTGCCACCCAGCTGCCATGTGAGCATGGTCAAATTCACTGCAGCACCTTATGATTAAGTCTTGCCCGCATTGGTGAGGAGTATGCTACTGGTTTCCTTTGTACTGGGGACCTGAAGGGTTTACTACTGCTGGGAGGAATGCAGACCTCTACCTCCTGCCCACTGCAGGGCTCTTGGAGCCAGAGTAATAGAGTTATGTTACTGAAGCTCTGCTGATCACTGCTGCCTTTCCTTCCCTCTCTCACACTCTTTCTCCTCGCCAGGACCCAGCACAGCTGCACTGCGAGAGGCTCTCCCACCCTCCCTCTTCTGCCCCTCCTGGGGAGCCAAGCCCAGGGTTTAATGGACTTCTGCAAAGTCCCAGCCCGAGAGACAAACCTGGATCCCAGCTGGGTGGAGGGCAGGTGGAAGGTAACTCTGGGGGGTTTCAGGGAATCTCCCAGAGCAGCCTTTGCTTCCTCCAGAGAGCCTTAGCCTGCTGCCAGGAGCAGTGTCTGACCTCAAAGCTTAGCTACAGGATGGACACAGGTCATTGAAGGTAAGGCTAATGAGGCAGGAGCAGTTATATAGGAATAAATAGACAATTGCTGTCAAAAGAAAGTAACCAACTGTGACAATTGACCAGGTCTGAATGTTCTTGTCATGGACCAAAGAACCCAGTCAAATATATATTTTATATACCAAGTATCTCCTGTTTGCCACATAAGGCATATTCCTCTATTCCTCCACCACCTTGTCTTTTATCATACTGTGGCCCTCTTAAGCCTCTTGGCCTCTCTAGTCTGCTCTGGTGGTTGCAAAATAACGTTTTGACAAAACTCTGCCCTTGGAGAGAGCGATGACAAATTAGCCACTGCTGTTAGACACCTCCAACAAGCCCATGTAAATGCTCCCACTGTCAGCATGAGCAGTGTAGGCAAATGCACACAAAGACCAAGTAGATTAAGCCCAAAAAGCAGCCAGGAGAGGAAAACCCGTGCATGAAGAGCTGTGATCAGCCTCGGAAATACCAGTCCTGTTGTGATTCAGGAAGACAAAGGTACTGGCTGTTTGCATGATGGGTGGCTGAAATCAGCACATCCAGACTTCTCAGGGGCAGCAAATACTTGCACCGTCCGGCCATCCGGAGCTGCAGGTCACACACCACACAGGTGTCCAGATTCTACCTTAATATTTTCATGTTTTGACTCCCTTCAAAACTGGAATTTCAGCTGCTCACTACTCAAAAAAGGTTTATCCAGTAAAAGTCCAGAGTAAAAACCTGTAGCTGCTTGGCTTGACCACACTGACTACTCCAGAAAAGCAAAATGGCTATTTTGGGATTTATGGCTTTTGCAAGTAAGAATTTCCTACCTAAATACTCCTGTTTTTCCTTGGCCAGCTGCAGTCCTTGGGCTTCCAGGCTCTCGATCATAGCTTCTCCCAGCTGGGCATTCTTCCAGGTCCTAGGGAGAGCAGACACAAAGCAGACAATGTAAGAGAGCTAAGGGTCCCAGAGGGCGAGGCAGCAGGACTTAGCCTCACAATCTACCAAGGGATTCAAACACACAGACCCTCAGCAGTTGGGACAGTGGTTCTCTACGTTTTTCTCCACAAATGAATTGGAGAAATTTCCCAGACATTCAGCAATCCGATTTATTTATTTAAAAGAGATCAACACTACACTGGTATTCAAATGTTTCTCTAGTGTTTTGGAGATTTCTATGCTGAACTTCGTCTCAAGGGCTCTCCAGACCAACCCAGCCCAGGCACAGCCTCCAACTCCAACAGGACGTACCTGGAACCCATTAAATATATCCCAGCAGACTTAAGAACCAGATTTTTAGCTTTTAACTCAGCTAACTTCCCATTTGCCAGGGACACTGTCTTCTACAGCTTTTCCAATATTTTTCTGCTATAGCCACTCTTTCCCTTCAAACATTACATGTTTATTGGCTCCTTCCCACAGCCTTGTATCTTCAGCCTTTCTGGTACCCATCATCCACCCTGAACCAATCAATTTCCTCCACTAAACTTGTAAGCCACTAGGATTTGGTGTTTGGCCCTACACTGGGAGTTAAGTGGCACTCCCTGTAAAAATAACAAAGAAACAGAGAAAAAAGCCAGATGAGATGCCAGGAAGTAGGGAGAGATAAAGGAAGCAGGCTTATTCAAAGAGTACCTTGTGTTATTGTAGCACCATTGGCCAGAGGATCTCAAGGTCTCTTGAAAACATTATGAAACTAGGCTCCAAAAATGGCTGTTAAGAAGATGTCCATTACTGATTAAGTTGATGGACAGGGGAGGCTTTAATACAGATACTAAATAACCAAGGACAAGGACATAGCAATCAGAACCAGAAATGGAGTTTGCTTCTTGCTTCTGTTCACATGCCATTAGAAAATGGTATCTACACACATAAAATACACATGTAAAATTCATCTCAATGTATTTATATAGGTGTACATACAGGAACAGCAATTGCTGTTCCAGAAATTTTGCTATCTTTCTTAAAACCCAAGGGAGCTTATTAATAGTAAATACTTGTAAGCCTTCCTGTACCAGTCCTCTTTGTGAGCCACTTGAAATTGTAGCTTTTTGGATACAGTAAGCTGGCAACCTCTTATAAAACAATTTCAAGGCAACCTGTACTCTGTCTCTTACAAAAGCCAGACAAATATATTAAACACACATCACCCCAGGGACCAGGCAGCTCACAGCTCCAGCAGCCCAAGCACCACCTCATGCTCTTTGCAGGCAGCTGGGTCTCTTTTCAGCTAATGAGCATCTAGGATATTTCAAGAGTGCAGAGGAAATTAGAATGCTAATTGAAAAGGTGATGTTTTGCCCACAGGTAGACAGCATCGTCTTGAGTGAGAACATGTGGGTGTGAATGTGTTTTTCCACTAACATTCTCTGATCCCAGAGAAACCGACAACAAACAGCTCAGGGGGGCAGAGTTTATCACACGATTACTTGGAAGGTTTCAAAACAGCTGTAGCCTTTAAGGTGCCTGTTTATTAGATCCACTTTTTCAGTGCTCCCTTCCCTTCCCCAGCCTAACAAGATATTTCCTTGTCTGTAACTCAAAGGTTACTACACCCACTGCTGTATAACTTAGAAGATGCACCAGTATCAGTGTGTAGCATTTGAACTTTTATTCCTTTTAACTGCTGTCACCAGTGCCTGTGTGTAAGCACACCTGCAGGGAGGTACAGGCTCTGATTGCAGCTGAGCGGGGAGCAAGTAGCTTTTTTATTTTGTACTTCTTACCAAGTGAGTTCTCATCAGAAAAAGCCACATTGCTTGAAGTGCTGGAAAGCACAGGGTCGGGAAGGCTCTTGGGACAAGTAGAAAGTGTCCTTACAATAAACACTTCAAAAAACCCCCAAAGTATCTCTGTTTGCTACACAATTCAAACATCATCTCTTCCAGTCCTTTTGCAGCACTGGGAACATCTCTCCAGCTTTGCCTTCATTTTATCTTTCTTGTGAGCACCCACACCCAATTTTTGGAGACACTTAGCACTTCATGGTCCACAGGACCACATGTTCTATGTTACCTATGCAACAGCCCAGGATGGATAATCATCCGTATGTTTATGAGGATGAGGAAAGAGGTAACACAAAGGTACAGCCACCCAAGGAGACCAGCTATATGAAGGTAGGGCTGCCTGAGTAGAGGGTATGAAGGTCAAGAAAGGAAGGAGCATAGTTTTGCCAAGGGCCTAAAGGGATTGAGATAGAGAAGGGACCTTTGCTTAGAAGACAACAGGAAACAAGTAGGAAATAGCATCTTGAGTGATTTCACACACACTGAGTCACTGGTAGAAATTCCCAAGTCTGAATTAGTTCTTTTCCAGCAGCAGCCACAAATATCTTCCAGAAAACAAGAGAGAACTAGGACAACCCAGTTTTTCCTCCTTCCCAAATTACCAGGTCATTTTTTATGCCAGTCAAAATGGCCCCAGCAAAGTGTCACAGATATACATACGGTGCGGCAACTGCTAGCACATTTCTCAGAACAAGCACTCAACCTTATTCTCAGATGGGCTCAAACATGTCCTTTTTCATGCCTTTCTCCTGACAAAAAACCAGTTGGTGACTAGTTATGTTGTTCCCTGCATTGCCCATGAAGTCTACTTTTAACCAGAGCAGGGAGTGCCACTATGGGCATAGGGAGCATATGTGTGGTCCTCTCCCCCACTAGCCACAGCAAAGGTCTCTCTGGGTGGGAAGAAAGTGTGGCCAGCTGGGACTTGGGGCTTTTGTGCCTTTCTGAAAGGCTTTCAGGATCTGGCAGGTGTGGTAAGTCCTAGCCACAACACATTAGGAGGGTGGAGATCCCCTGCACATTGAATAAGAGGTTTCCCTATCAAACTGGGATGTTTGGAAGGGAGGGAAGAGCTGAAGGCACCACTGAGCAGACTGTGATGGTGGAGGCAGCAAGCAGCTGCATAGTCAGGTGTGTGCACACACCACCCAGCCCCAGATGTAAAGAGGCAGCAGACAAAACTGAAACAAAGGAAAGAGGACAGAAGACACTTCCCATCCTAGGTATATTTTTAACTCTTCCCCTATTTAACAAAACCTCAGTCTCTGAAGTCGGGGTGTTGGGTTTGTTTTAAGAGTGAGGGTTTGTTTTTTTCCTTTGGTTAGTTTTAAATAATGAGGGAGACTGTAGGATGATCACAATAACCTGTAAGTGCTACAGTACCATGGGCAGTACAATCTCCACCTAGGAACAATGGGGCACTAAAACAGGTTGCCTGAAAGATTTCAGCTGCGTCCTTTTAGTTCTCCATTTGATTGCAGATCAATTTACTGGCCCATGCTGTGCCTTTCTGGCTGCTGCTTGGCTCCCAACCTGACCTTGTGAACATAAATCACATAATCTGTGTTTTTCCTCACATGCAGCCTCTCATCAGAAGTGATTATGCTGGAGCTGCGTCACTCTCCTCCTCTGATGCAAGAACAGAAGCAGAGAGGGGAAGGAAGGGGGTGTCTCAGGCAGATTTTCAGCCAAGGTAGTCTGATAGCAGCCACTTCTCTAGCTTCTGTTTTAACACTAGTGCTGGAATATTGGAGAGGGACTGGAGAAAAAGCTGGCTCTGTGAAATAAGTAGTGGCACAGGGCGTGCTTGTGAGAACTCCCCCTGAGCTGTGCAGCCCCTCTCCTTTCCTCCCATACACACTTGAAAGATTAAGTTGGCCCCCAAATTATTGCCCTTGGCAATAGTTAAGTCTAACATTGATGAGGGCAAGTGCAGACCTATGCTATCGAAGAAAAACCTCTGAAATACTCCAGGGCTGAATCTGGGTCCCTCCTCCTTTGCTCGTGCTGAGTGGGTGCCAGACCTCTGCCGTGGATCTTGTGTCCCATGGGGCATAGTCACACTGCACACCAATGTGGGAAGCTTTGTGTCAGCTTTATTATGTAGGGAAAGGATGGGTCCAGGAGGCAATAAGGTTCTTACTAGTCTTGGGGTGCTTCTCTGCTTCCCTGTAGACCTTCTAGTCAGGCTTTTCCCTCTTTATCCTTTACACATCTACAGCGCAGATCAAAGAGAATAAGGAATAGAAAGAAGCTTACACTTTTCCAGACTCCTGTAGCATCTCCAGCCACTGAGCCTGCTCAAATTCTGATTCGGCTGCTAGAACAATGTTACCCTAGAAGAGGGGAGGGGAGGGGAAAAAAAACCCAAATTAGAGAGGCGGGTGCCTTATGTGCATCTGGGCATGAACTGGACATAGCTAGCACAGCTATGGTGGGAGGAGAACCCACCACAGGCTTCCACCTCCGTAGGAGCATCACATGGAAACAAATATGACCCAGGCTTCCACACATTAGAAAGAGATGCACAGGGCATGTGGTCATGGTAGGAATAAAATGATAGGGTGACATGAACTCTAGGGCTCCAGAATATCTGTCTACTGGTCTGCTAGTATTGTAAGACCTGCTGTCAGAAAGAGCAAGTTTCCTTGCTGGTTGTCAAAGGAGGAGCAGCAGGAAAGCCTCGAGAAGACTTTGGATGCTTAAGCCACCCTGTCTCTCGGGATAGTCTGCCCAGAGAGGGTAGGCACATATTGGTGGGGTGGAAAAGACTGCCAATCCAGCTCTGCTCATCAGCAGTAAAATGTTCTGTGGTGGTCATTTTTTTATTTTGTTGTTGTTCTTTTTGTTGGTTGGTTTTTGGGTTGGGTTTTGGGTTTTTTTTTGAGAAATAAAAAGTCTACTTACATGAAAGTCTTCATGAGAGATCTTTATGGCATAAGGCATGTTGGGCTCTTCTTTGGGCTCCACGATGCAGCCTCCCAGGGGTATGACACCCTGAGGATGAAGCAGAGCACTTCAATCAGTCAGCAGAATCAAGTATTATCAACTAACCAGAAGCTGAACTTTTCTCCCTTGGTCACGTGTGGGCCCTTGCTCTGCTTTGGCTATCCCAGGAGGGGCAATACACATACAGAAAAGCAGAGGGACTACTACCAGAAGACCTCTAAGTGGTATCCACAAGGGGGTAGATGTTTCTCCTGCATTCAGCTTGGAGGGAAGGCCTCTAGCTAGAAGATGAAAGTGGGAGCTCTTTCATCAAGCAGGAGGTGATCTCCCAACAGGGGCAGACATTGCAGAGTCACAGTCTGGTAGCATGAGAGAGGTTGCGCATCCATTAGTCACCACGAGTAGGTCAACATCCCACACATGCTGTGTGGGGACAGACTGGTGGCCTGCTACCCCTCACTAGGCTGGGTGAAATCGGCACACTTGGTGGCACGTGTGCTCCATCATCTTCCAGTGACTACAGAAGATAAAAACAGGCCAAGACCAAAGAGTCTCTCTGTGAGAGCTCCAGGTGGTAGAGCTACGGAGACCACTTTTTGGAGCTGAGGGCATGTAGGGGTTGGATGCCACCACTGACGAGTGCAAGTACAGGCTAGAAACAAGCAGCAACCCAAGCTGTTAGCCCCACCACTGGCTTTGCCAACAGTGTTCTCATAGCCACAAGATTAGTTGATTAGGAGGTCATGAAAACAAGGGGATACATCTGCTATCGGGCAAAAAAGAAAACCAACATATTCAAGTCACATTCTTTCTGAATCATTAAGAAGTCTGAAGAGGCACTGACATGATTCCTGCTTTTTAGAGGCTTCCCTGGATCTGTGAGAAGTTTGTGACTTACCTCTTTTTCACTTGCTGGGCCCGGAGAGGCAGGGGGAAGCTAAAAACAAAATAAACCCCTCTTCCCATACAAACACTCCTCACCTTGGGGTGGATATTGAAGTATTTATTGCTTTCAAAACTCCTCTTCTCACTCTCAGCATAGTACAGCAGGAAACTTTCCTTAATGATGAAGAACCTTTAAGACAGAGAAAGGAAAAAAAAAAAACCACAAACTCTGCTAGAGCAGAGGTCCTGGTTCACAGCACAAGAAAATCTCTGCCTAAGGCTGCATTCTGAGCAGAAGAATTTACTATTCCCATCTAAGCCTAATGTGAGGTGTCTCGCTTCTGCTCATAGCCAAGAGCTAGTGCTTAACGCTAAGTGCCAAGTTCAAGTGCTTTGTGCTTCTAGCTTACAGCAGTGTGCATGCACCAGTGCTAAAGGCAAACCCAAGCATCATTGACTCACAGGGGAAGGGGACAGTGGTCTGCACCCCAAGACAGGAGCACAGTCAAAGCCTTTTGGCATCTTGACCTGTGCGTGCTTTGTGTAGCCCATGTGTTGGATTCAACCTATTAGAAGCGACCTGCTCCTTTTTTAAAGAGTCTCTCTCACATGGGTTCAGAGCAACTAAAAGCTTATTTTTGCTATTTACTCCCTGCCACCTTCTTTCCTCCCATCTCAGCATAGGGGGGAGTCACAGGGTAGCATCCCCAAGCGACTCTCGAGGCAAAATATTGGCCATGAGAGCACTCAGGAGCAGAAATAAATTTTAAGAGATTTTTTAAGCATAGCTCCTGGCAAAGTTTCCTGTCGTTGACCTTTGCAAATACAAAGGAAATTGAAATTCTTTTTTGTCGTATGCGTCACAGTAAAATGTGCCTTGTTCTGCTCAGTTAGCCTCAGGTATGCTCTGATGAGCACTGTATAGTAGCCACAAAATATCACAACTTCTGCAACCCAAGCCTCTAATTTACTGGAGTGTGTTCTCAAAATTGTGATTAAAGGAATGACGCTTTTAGCTTATTGGGATGTTTAAAATTTCTGGGCATGTTTAGTCTGGAGAAGAGGAGGCTGAGAGGGGACATCATTGCCCTCTACAACTACCTGAAAGGAGGTTGTAGAGAGGTGGTGTTGGCTTCTTCTCCCAAGTGAATAATGACAGGACCAGACAAAACAGTATGAAGCTGCAGCAGGGGAGGATTAGATTAGATATTAGGAAGAATTACTTTACTGAGAGGGTGGTCAGGCACTGGAACAGCCTGCCCAGGGAGGTGGTGGAGTCACAATCCCTGGAGGTATTTAAGAATAGATGTAATAGATGTTTAAGAATAGCATAGATGTGGCACTTCAGGGCATGTTCTAGTGCCTGAGATTGTTGGGTGTGGTGATTGTCATGGTGATGGGGTGTTGGGTTTTTTGTTTTGGTGTTGTGTGGGGTTTTTTTTGTTTTGCTTTCATTTTTTTTAATGGTTGGACTCATGATCTCAAAGGTCCCTTCCAACCATGAAGATTCTGTGAAAACGCCCCTGGGAGAGTTGGATTTAGAAAAATGAGGTTGCATTTACCCTGCAGGCAGTGGTACAGGGGAGAGATATCCGACTTAGGTTAAATTTGGTCTAAATCTGCAGCACCCAAAAATGCTGAAGAGCAGCTGAAAAGATGGAGACTAGGTTCGTAAGGTTTCAAAAGAGTAAATGACAAAGGAAATGTGTTACACGTGTTCTGCACGTTTTCTGACATGAGAAAAAAGGGATTTGGAAAGTGAAATGCAATAAGCTGAAAATTAATAAAGAATGCCTTTTTACACTGCACAAAACACCGCTGTGTAAATCACTTTCACGTGGTCCCAAGGACAAGAGCTTGTGAGGGATCTGGAAAGTATAAGGCATTTCTGTAAATAATGAGAAGATCCCCAGGAAACCTGCCTGCTTCTGGGCAGAAAGACTCCACTAAGAGGGATCAGGAAGAGACTTCTCCAGGCAGCGCTTTCCAGTTGCACAGCCCAGGGATTCCTGCACCTTCTTCTGAAGCCACCATTAAAGATGGGCAATAGACCCAGGGGTCTGATCCACAAGAGCAATTCCAATATGTCCACGTGCTCATCCCACCCCAGTCCTCTCCTCAAGCAGAGGCCCCAGTCTGATGAAGCCAAGCACTGCCACCAGTACAGATGAGCAAAGCAGTTGGGTACCAGTTTAGTTCCTAAAGCTAAAGAAAGAATTTGAAGCTGGCAGAGAATTACCATTATAATAATTATAATACCTTATAATATAATTAATAATTTTCACCATTATTATACTCAGGAGAAAGCTTTAGTACTTCCACTAGCTCCTATCTCTCGCTCTTCTGTTGTGGCTCTGGCAACATTGATGGAATTGCCATATGCTCTGGAAACATGGGCTCACAGAGGGACTGGAAGATAGAGGACAGAGAGCTAAACTTCTGAATGCCTGCAGCAAGATCAAGCTCTGGACAGACTGTGTGCCTGCTCCAAAATGTCATTAAACATCTACATATTTACATCCAGAAATCTTCAGAACATACAAAGATGGGAAAGCAACGCATGACCCAACCTGTGGCAGCCATCCCAACTCCCTCTGTGTTACTGTAAGAGTTGCCTAAGATGGGCAGGGAGATGGACTGTGGGACACAACTTGCTTTCCTTGTAACAGGAACCTCCATCCTAAATCTCTTTGCAGCATCACAGATCAGAGACCAGAAGGGTTTCCTCATGACAGCAGGGAGGGATGGGAAGGAGTGTCCCAGCCAAGGTGAGGGCACTGAACTGCTCACACAACTTTGAGACACAAACAAAGCCCATCTAGTGGATGCATTAGGCACATCTCTGGAACATGTTCCTGATAGAGCGGATTCATCGAGGTTCCACCTCTGTATTCATCACTTCCAACGGCCTTTTTGGTCTGAACATCCTCAAGAAACATTTGCAAGACAGGTAAAGATGCTCATCTTTAACTATGTCTTCTTTTTAATCTAAATGTTAACCCCCAGTTAAAGCCAGGGTTTAGTTTGCTGCGTACTTTCTGTCTGTTGCATACTTTTTGTCTGCTCAGTGCTCCCAATAATCCCTGTAGTATAGATTATGCTCCAGTGGGAAACAAAAACAAAACAAATCTGAGCACAAAGCATAGCACAGATCTCTTTGAATTGATGTGCCTCTGGCAGTTAAATGAACTTTTAGATCCCTGACCTCACAGACACAAATAAAATCTATGGGGATTTGGAATGAATACATACAAAATAGGAGTTTCGAAAAATAACAACAAAACTCTACAGCAAATAATGAAGGAAAACCATTGAAAACCTGATTAGCTGATGGACATAACATCTTCATGCTATATTCCCTGATCTATCCTTATCTGGAAGGCAACACCTAAGCAACTAAGATCACCCCTTTGACTTCCAGGACAAAGTCTCCATCCAACGACGCAGGGATAATTGGTGCAGCATGATGGAAAGAGGGATGAAGTGAGCAAAGGAGAAAGAGTCACAAGACTCAAGCAAGATGAAGACTGAAGCAGCAGCCAGGTGAGCAGGAGCAGAAAGGCCAAGGATGACCAAGGGAGAATGGGGAGAGACACCCAGTTAGGACTGAGAGACACTGAATATATATCCAAATTAGGCAGAGATGTGCCAGTGAAATAAGAAGGGGGGCTGGTAAGACAGGGGAAGATTTTGAATAAAAACAAGAAACACAAAAAGAAGAAACTGAAAAACAGCATTCAAAAAGCCTGGAGAGCAGCAGTGAAGGTGAGAAGAGCCGGTCCAACCGTGCACGCTCCATACACAGCACAATTAACACATGAGCCATTCACACATGGTCAACTCATTTGGGTTGTCCATCCCCCACGGTTAGATCCTGCACTAAGAAACCACTAAAACCGCAGTGTAATTAAACTGGAATAGCAAAGGAACAGTAACAATCCAAGTGACTTGGAGGCAAAGCCAGGGACATGATCTGCCAGGATTAGACACAACAGCTCCACACTGGACCAGCAGAGATACCTGATCTCTGGAGATAAAGTGCTTTCTTGGAGTCAGAGGGGTAAGGAGATTAATTAGCTAATCTTTGTAAAAGCTTTTGAAGTGACAATGGCCCATGTCAAGTATTTACATTATAAAACTGCAGCGGTCTCACCGGTCCTTCCTTCCAATGGTGGTTTTCTGGGCACCAGTCCAGGAGCAGAGGCAGCAAAACCCAGTTATTAGATCAGCCCAGTTATCTCTCTCTCTGGGGGACAGCTCAGGAAAATGATGGGCAAAAGATCTATATCAACGAGTCAGGCTCAGAGACCACCCTATCTGTCCCTGGCTCGTCCTCTCCCAGCAGCCCCAGGCTCTCCTGCCTGCCTGGCGCCGGGAAGAGGTGGATGCTTCCCGACAGCACCCAGCCCAGTGGGCAGCTGGCAGTGCCCAGGGGGAGCAGGGGGTCTGCTGGACTGCCAGCCCTGCTGCCCAGGCCTCCCGCCGGCGGGCACGCATGCTGCTCCGCGGTGGGAACCGTGTTGCCTGTTTTCTGGGTTGGTTTTTTTTAGAGCAGAAAACAGTCCTAAACAATTATCCTTTCCATCTGTCCTGTGAGCCCATCCGGTGACTGTCGGTAGTCGCTCTGCCGGACAAGGTGCTGTGCAAGCTTTGCAGTGCCACAGCCAGGTCTGGTCCAAGAGGAATAACATTTCTCCCTTAACTGTGCTGTGTTTCCCTCCTTCCAGCAGCAACCTGGAATCCCTGATGGATTTACTCAGAGTTATAGGCATATTTTGTGTTCCATCTTGCTTTCTTACTCCAGCTGACTACTGAGTAGATGCCCTCTTGGCCCCAAAGTCTCACACCTGAATGGTGACAGTCAGATTAGAGCCTGACATTTCTATCTGGGGCCAGAATTACTCACAGCAGAGAGGAACTCATCACTTCCCACCTGCAAAGCTACAGTGCCCTGTTTGTGCCACACGCAGGGCAGGTACGTACCTTGTGCGTTTCATTCCAGACTCCATGCCAGGCTGATGCTGTGACCAGTACAACTTTTGTCATAGGGAGAAGGCTAAACTGCTTGTTGTTAATTGGAATTAAGAATGAGGTGCAGCTTGGTGGGAAGAAGAGGACCAGAAGTCAAGGACAAAGAGTATGACTTTCCAAAGCCACTCCAGTAGTGGCTGGTCAAACTGTACTAGTCAAAAGCACCAGTAAATTCAGGAGATGATTGCATGCCCCTTAGAAGGGTATTATTTTACAAGGAAAGAAAATTCACATTAGCCAAGGAACAGACCTTCTTCTCTTGGGGAGATAGGAGCTAGGATGCTGGTAATGGTGTTTTAAAATAAAGCTCTGAAAGGCAGCATGCTCAGATGCCATCCCTGGCAGATAAACCCAGGCATGTTGGTCCAGTGCCTGAAGCACCCAGCCCACTCTGGGTCAGAACTCGAGGCAGCAAACACACATTTAGGCTGCTGGACAGACCATTGTGTGGGCAGGGGAAAGGGCTGAAAAAGCTTCAGACAACGGCCTCACGTCAAGTCTTTCTGTCCTCTCAGGTGCCATCAGATGCCAGCCCTGACTAAAACAAGGCTCTGCTATCCCTTCCATCTCCCTGCACACCCCCTGCTGCTGCAAAATCCCCAGACCTGGGATTTCAATCACCAAAGCACTGTACTCCATGCCTGGTCTTTTTTCCTTGATTCATTTATCCAGTCAGCCACCATCCTCTTCCCTTAAACGCTTGCTTTTCTTCTCAGTGCCTCCAGCAGCACTGTTGCTACAGCCAAATGAATGGGATCAAGCCAGTGAAGTATCACACATCTTGACAGCCACACAGACCCATCTGCATGGCTGAGGGCCTGATGTGATAAATCCTCCCATTCCATGCTGGTTTATCTCCCATAGCCTGGAAAGACTTGTCTCGGGACAGGGAGTAGTACTATTGTCCAGTGCAAAATCACTTTACAGCAAAGGTACTACCTGTAAGTACCAAATAGATAAAAAGTAGTGATCTAAGATTTCAGAACAAGATCTATATTGGTCAGAGATCCTCAACTCTATCAAGCAATAGTCATTTTTTAATTCTTAATTTAACTGGAGTGGGAAACATCTCTTCTCCTTTTCCCAAAATAATGCACTTCACCTGCTGTGTCTTGCTGGACATGGGGGGGAAGTGTGGGAAATGGATGATTGCTCCTTTTCCCCCCCCCATAATGACCAAATGACTTATAATAACATGCAAGATTTTACTTCAAAACAAATTGCTCCTGTGATAAAAAATTTATCATTCCTCCTGTTGCAGCCTTTTTACTCGAGAAATCCTTTCATTCCAAACCCTACAGATGCCCTGTGTTCACCTCCCACTGACCTGTTCCCCCAGGACCCCCAGCTGACCCAGCTCACCTTCCTCATCACCTCTGCCCCATGGTCACCTCCCCATCTCTTCCCACCTGCTACCACTACAACATTTACCACTCGCTGAAGGTGGGGGTGACTTCTAGGAATAGAACTGCACTAAATAAATAATGACAGAGAGAAGAGATGGGCCATCTGACTGCAAGAAATTTTGATTAGGAAGAAGAAAGCCTTTTAAGAATGTCTCCGCCATGGCAAATTACCTTCCCCTCCGTTATTCTGTCCACTTCTTTTCCATAAAATAGTCACATTAGTTTCCAGACATAATTCATTTAAATATCAATGCTTGGGAGCTAAGTAGGGAGCATCAGCAGAAATTCTCTCCTGGGTGAAGAAAGGACATTGGTTTTGGTGGGCAGGGAGGGAAATACAGAATAAAACCTGCAGGTCAAAGATGTCTACAAACACAAAACTGCTTCCCAAGCAACATTTAAGTGTTGTTCAGGCCATGCCATCTTCACAGGTTTAGACTGAGTGGCACTGAGCAGGACTGGGAAAGCTAGGTTTAGAAGTGGGTTTGATGTGTTGTGCAGGCTGCCGCAAAAAGGCACACACAGAAGGTGAGTACCAGAGGCACCAACAGACATTGCTCAGGTGCAGGTCAATTTATTAATTTATTCTTCCTAAAGGCCTTCAGACACACTATGCTACAAAGGCTACAAAACTGCCTTTCAGTTCCAGAGATAGGTCAGGCTTCTTGTGCTGCCATTTGTTTATGAGTCATTTGTGCCTTTCCCCAGTGTAAGGGGGGGGGATACGACAACAAAACAACATTACATTGCTTTTCTTGCAGACTTTTTCATCTGCAGATAAGAAACTACTAGAGTTGGATACGTACTACAAATCCCGGGTTGCAAAACATCTCTGGCAGTGGTAGGGGGAAAATGCAAGTTTCTCAGCATCTGAGTGAAGTCTATCAGCTGTGACATTAATCTGCCATCCAGGAATGCTAGAAAGCGTAATCCATTGGATCATGTACCCCCAGTGAGCAATGAGAAAGAGCTGTACCATGTTTCTGTGCAAGTACCCATCCATAAACAGTCCTGTCTCATCATTTGAGAACCAGCAGAAAACTCTCCTGTGAGATTCAGTGATTCGCATAAAGAAACTACGTTGACTCTAAGCCTCAAAGCGACATATTTCCACCCCTGGGAAAAGGTTACAGCAAATGCTTTCCAGCTCCAGACTTCCTGGCTGCTGATACACAGCAGCTCACAACTCCCTGGCACTAGCTGGGAGAGAATTCAGAGCCACCTTCCCCCCAGGGAAGAGTCTGCATTTGCTGGTCCCAGCGTGCCATCACTGCCACACACTGCTGCTGGTCCTCAAACCCCTGCAGACCATACACACACACAGAGTCCCACAGGCACAGTCAGCTCAGCCTGGCCATCTCACACCCAAAGAACCCAAAGACCTTTAACAAGTGCTAATAAACAGAGTCAGGCAGTTTGGGGGCAAAATACATGAGATGACTCTCCCTCTTCCGTGAAATGATTGCAGCCAGGGAAGAGTCTGCATTTGCTGGTCCCAGCGTGCCATCACTGCCACACACTGCTGCTGGTCCTCAAACCCCTGCAGACCATACACACACACAGAGTCCCACAGGCACAGTCAGCTCAGCCTGGCCATCTCACACCCAAAGAACCCAAAGACCTTTAACAAGTGCTAATAAACAGAGTCAGGCAGTTTGGGGGCAAAATACATGAGATGACTCTCCCTCTTCCGTGAAATGATTGCAGGGGGATTATCCAGAAGAGGCAGCCAGTCCTTGTTCCCACCCTGAGGTGCACGTAGCACAGGGTCTGGGATGGTAAAGGAGGCAGTATGGTGGGTGCCGTGTGTGTAAAGCAGACTCAGAACAGCAGGGAAGCTAAGCCCAAAGTTTCACTCCCTGTCTCTGCCTGGCTAACTGCACGTGAAGCTGCACGATGTGCTTGGGCTCCAACTCACCCCAGCACCCTTCAGCTTTGTGTTCCACCCGAGCATCCCTCACCGACTGGAGCTTACCTCCTGGACCATTTGGCCGACTGCCTCCCAAAAGGTCTCTTCCAGAGCACGCCGTACAGCTGCACTTTGGTGCTGATGTCCAGGGCATCCGAGTCTGCCTGCTCCATGGACGGAGAAGGGGATACGGAGCTGGATTTTGAAGCAAACATCATAGATGGATTTGGTTCTGACTCTCCCCCTCTGCGCTGCAGCTCGGGGAATCCGATTAAGTGCAATGAACCAGAAGGACGTAACCAGCCACTCCAAGCGGCAGACGGAGAGACTGGGCTATGGTTTGAATCAATAACTTGACTGCTCAGCACTCAGTCAATAATTCTCTCCCTGATGCACGGATGATGAGAGTTTCCTCGTTGCGTATTACTTCCTGATGCATTACAGACAGCACACATCCCAGGCAAAGGAAAAAGAGAAAAAAAAAAAAAAAAAAGAGAAAGAAAAAAAAAAAAGAGAGAGTGAAGAGATTAGGAACACAGAGAGGCAGAAAGAGCTCACCAGAGAATAGGTCCCAGCAATAATATAAGCCAAAAATACCTCTGCACCAGAATCAGCTTGGAAGGTTATTTCACTCGACATTGCAGCATCCCAGGCAGAAATCAGGGCAAGGTGGAGGGTTTACTGCCAGGCATCTCTTACTCTGACACAACCCCCCAAAATCTTGCACTTGGAGACGGGTTCTCCTCATTTGTCCTGAGGAAAAGGGGAGCAGAGAGGGTGGGCACCAGCAAGTTCAATGAGATTCCCTCTGCGTTGGGAGGCTTCTGCCGTGCCAGCCTGGCACTGCCCACCCGGGTACAGTTCAGTGGCTGCAGTCTGGACTGGGCAGTGTCCATGCTGCACGCCTTGCTCAGCCTTAAAGGGCCATTGCTGATCAAAGTTAGAGCATCAAAATTCTGCCCACCTCTGTGTCTTGCTGCACCTCGGGGATGTGGCAAGCGCAGCCTCTGCCCGGCCTCTCAGGTACCAGCTCCCTCTTGGCTGTAGCACAGAGACACAGGAATATGTCACACAGCTCAGGTGAGTCTCCGTTCATCTTCTGTTTATTGCTCCCACAACAAGCTTTTTACTCCAGTTCCCCAAGTCCTTGTTCCTCTTTTGAAACCTTCCCTCCCTGCAGAAATAGAAACAGTCCTCCAAAAGAACCCCCCTGGCTTTTGGAATGCCTGCTGCAGGAAAGTGCATGAGCATCATATTGTTCCTTCCTGCATCCGGCCTTCCTGCAGGATTGGGATTTGGGGAAGAGCTGCCTGCATTGTGCCTGGTAAAGCACCTGGAGTTTTGGGGGGCCGTATAACAACAGAGACACATACATGCTGTGAGGCATCTCCTCCCGTTCTGACCTACCCCATCCTATGTGTATCGATGTTGATGCCGTAATTGCTAGACATCATCCCTTCCCAATTCAGAAGTGACAGGCTGCAGAGACACGGTTCCTTTCTCATTCCCGGAGATTAGAAACCTGGGATGTGCCACAGGCTGCATCACAGCACTGGGCACAGGCCCACTCAGCTTCACGTGGTCACAGGCACTTGTGAAGCACCTCAAGTGGAGGAAAGGCAGACTGTCTGCCTCAGGCCGCACTTGGGGCTGGGAAAATGATAGATGCAGGTCCCTGATAGAAGTCACTATTGATCGCTAAACGAGGGAGTCAGCAAACTCAATGCTTTGTTACTTTCTCTCACCCTGGCTTTGACCAACCTTTCAGTCCCAGGTAGGATTTGCTGCCGCTTGGGACATGTCCTATCTCAGGGTGACATTAAGGGAGAGGGTGGGGAACAGGGGAGAGCAGCAGATATGTCTCCATCTCACCTGAGCCCCGAACCTCAAACACAACCCCGCATTGCAGAAGAGAAGTATTAATGCTGTAGTGACCATTGTACACACTGCACTGAAAAGAAAATACTGCTCACGACCAGGGTTCCAGAGGAGGGAAAAGTTTTGCTGGAATTACATTGCACAAAAGCTAAAAAGGATTCTGGGCCCAACAGCATCACCTTAATTTATAAATGGGCAATGAAAAGCCACAGAGCTCCTGTGTAAGAAGGCCAAGTACAGATTGGATATTAGGAAAAATTTTTACACTGAAAGGGTTATTAAGCATTGGAATGAGCTGTCCAGGGAAATGGTTGAGGCACCATCCCTGCAGATATTTAAAAGACGGGTAGACAAAGTGCTTAGTGACATGGTTTAGTGATGGTTCTTATCAGTTAGGTTGATGGTTGGACTAGATGATCTTAAAGGTCCCTTCCAATCTAGACAATTCTATGATTCTATAAGAGGTCTCCAGACTCAAACATCAAAAATGTCTCCTCTGGAAACTTCTAGGACAAGTGAGGGATTGAGTGGTCACAGCAAATTGTTTAGAGTCAGCAGCTCCAGAGGAGGAGAAAAGCAAAAAAAAAAAAAAAAAAAGAAGACAGCAATGCTAGAGCAATAAACAGCAGAGGGGTGAGTTCTGTAACTGCTGGTGTCTGGACAAAGTAATTTGTAATAGCCGTGGTTATGTTAATAATTCCCTTATGTGTGTAATAATCTAAATAAATCAGGGGCCTGTCTGAAGGAAAGAGCAGGAGAGCAACACAGCAGGTCTAAGCAATTTGCCTCTCACAAACAGAAGGCCACAGCGTAAGGGACAACTTATATATTTTTCAATGTTACTTCTGTCAGATGCAAAACTTAACGTCAACCGGCCAGGAACTTTGAGGTCAAAACAACAGTGTGACAAAACCCAGCCAAGAAAAAAGGGTCAACCACAGGGTGAGTAGGAGAGCTGGGATCTGCAGAAGTGCCTTCTCCCAACTCCAGGGGACAGAAATCCTTAGGGAAGCACAAGCAGGCTTCGTTTTGCTGTAAGATCTTGGTGAAACCTAACAGCCCAAAAGCAGAGAGACATTTGTGCAGCGATAATCCATTTGTATTTAATCTGGGAGCTCATCATTTAATAAGAGCAGAGAAAGGAAATTGAAATATACAAGATCTTCACTGGACAATCATGTGACACCAGTGCAAGAAGAAAAATGCAGTGATGGTCAGCATTACAAGTGAGGGCAGACATAAACCTTTGTACCACACCCACACGAGATCCCATCTCCACAGTTCTGGCTAAAGAGATTCCCCAGCCCTGAAGAGATGCAGAAAAGGGCTTGGGTGATGATCACAGGTATAGTTAACCCATAGTATGACAGGAAACTCAAAGGCCTTCACTTGTTTAAATGAGATCAAAGGTGAAAATTCAACTGCTGTGTAGTTTCGAGTATTCTTTCCCCTTGTAATGTATTGGTCGATGGTTGCAATAAAACAAATGGGTCTAAATTGGCCATGAATAAATGAGAAGGTATGTAACTGCACAGCAAGGGAATTGTGGAATTGCCTTACAATGAGAGCAGCAGAGGCAAGAATCCATTAGTTGGTTGGATCTATTACACGCGCAGCAACCAGAGGCGGTTCCAGGGGTACAGATTAGGCTCATCTCTTTTTTTTTTTTTGAAACAATTTTGCTCCAGAACAATAATTTAAACTTTTTAGAGGCATGTTTCATTCTTGATGGCTCGTAGGGGAAATGCAGCTTGTACATCCTGGAGAGAAAGCACTGGAGCTTTACTCAGGAAACCTTCCTGCAGAGAAACAGGTTGTACTGCTACAGGAATTATTTTGCTAATACGTAGTCCCTATTTTTTCTACACATGAAGCCAATAAAAATTTGTCAGCAATTTCAAAAAACTGCTGAAGCAGACAGCAGTGTAAGCTAGCACAGAACTAACACTCCATCATCACAGGGGCTACCCTCCAGCTATAGGATACTCCCTTTCAGTTGAAGGATACACATCCTGGCTAACTGCAGCCAATGAGGAGACTTGTACTATTATTTTTAAGTGAAAAGTTACATCTTTATATTCTGGGCAGCCTTACAAAAGTACTTGATGCAGAAAAGAAACTAATCCTTGGACTGGGGCCAGGAAATCGAGATTTGGAAAGGAGATTTGGAGTTGGAAAGATTCAGATTTTGCCCTGCAATATGGATTCCCTTTCCTCTTACAGCTTCTGATAGGCTCTGCAGCCACTTCCAACCCAGAGAACCATTAGCAATTATGGGAAGTATTAGTGGAGAAATAAAAAGAACATCTAGTTCAAGGTTAGATTATGATATATCACTCTTGCAAAGGTAAAACGTCACATGTATCTATCAAAATGATGCTCCAGCTTCCCAGACATAGCCTCTGTGAACAACTGTATCTTAAATAGAATAAGAGCAAACACCATCAATCCATCTCTTCAGTGAGACATTAACAGATTATGTTTCTTTTGCATGTGATTAAATTTTCAGTGTCTCATGGGAAGTCAGAGCTGCCCTGCGAGCTCAAAGAAGAGTTCTTAAGCAAATGGACATTAAAGTGATCACTGAAAAAACTGCTCTCCACAAAATACAGCAGGCTAAGAGGGCCATCTCCACCCTCACCCTCCTGTGAGCCATGCTGCCACACAGCTTTTTCATACTGAAGTCCAGGCTGCAGGGATAAGCACAGAAAAACTCCAGGACAGACCCATGGCTTAGCCCACCACATGCACCAAAGCCTGTTCACATGAAGCACCTGCAGAGCAGACACCAGGAGTACAAAGCTTTGTTCAATATCAGCTGACTCTGTTTCTCTGTCAAAAAGAAAACAGAACATGGGAACTCCGTTGCATTCCTAAAATGCAACTCTACTTACAGCTTCACCTTCTGGAGGTGAACAAGGAAAGCTTGACCAAGAGGTGTTAGACCAAGAGTCATTCCTATTAGTACTAAGGCTTGTAAGCAGGGTTTATTGCAGCCCTCTTCAGCCACTCCAACAAGGATTGTCCATTTAAAGTGCTTCCACGGACTCCAACACAAACCATGATCATATATCATAAAGTAATTACCACTTCAGATGCTGGATGGGCATACAGATAGAGAACAAGCATTTTTCCCCCTAATAATTTCACCCCACCTTTTAAATTTTCTAAATATTACACAGGTATGGTGTCAGTCATCATGACATAGCTTGCTTTTAATTAGCTCTACAAGTTTTCTGAATGAGGCGTTTTTCTTAAACCCCCCTCTCCCCATCCACCATAAGGGTTTGTTAACCTCTAGACACCCCAGCCAAGAGGGAGAAGTGCTGTGATAAGAAGGGTGGAACGTTGCACAATTCCGCTTGCAGGGATATTTGGATAAGGCTGGCATGTATCAGTAGAAGAATGGCTTAATTTGTAAGCTGGAACAATAGATGACAGCTCATCTTCTTCTTGCTCCTGTGCTCATCCCTAATGAGTCTCTGATAAAAATGCTGATGAATTTTTTTTTTTCCTTAACAAATGAAGGAACACTTTACAGCCACCATCAGGAAGCCTGCAACACCACAGGTCCTCAATATTTAAGTTTTTACTTAACATAAATGCATCCAAAGCACATCCTCACATCTCCAAAAGGATTTACAACAGACTGCAGTGGTTAAGTCACCAGTTACTGAGACTACATTTTTATTAAACACACTAAAAGAATGCTAATGTACTGCATTATGCTTATCATTAAAAATAAATTTTACTTGCAGAAAAAAACAGAGCCTATCTGGGAAAGTACTGGCTTCTCATCCTTACTGCCTTGCACCTGCCTGTACAACAGCAACACCACCATTTCTTTCAGGTCTTCTACTAATATTACATTAATCATATTCTCTTGTGATTAAGCCAGTATAAAAAACCCACACTTTTTCCTATCCCCACAAGTCCTATGAGCCACCAGAAAAATCAAAAGTAAGCCATTAGCTGAGAAGATTGCAAATTGCTTGAGTGAAATAGCTGTAACACTTAACTGTTAAAGTGACAGGATCTTAGATAAATCTGTAGATAGCAACTGCAGGAGAAAAAAAATAATTCTTTTTTCAATGAATTGCTTAAAAATTATCTCCGTCAAGGGTATCTCCTAAATGGATGCATGAAGACTTTGGAAATGCGTATATCACCAATCCTATAGCAGCATCATTCCCCTTTCTCTTTTCTGAAAATATGTCATAGTCTCATAGAATTGTCTAGGTTGGAAGGGACCGCAACCCTGCTCACAGGGCAGCTGGAGAGTATGGAGAGTATCTATAGAGTATCTATAAATTGTGTCAACTCAGCAGCTACAGGAGAGCTCTCATCAATGTATACACGTACCTGTAGGGAGGGTACAAGGAGGATGGAGCCAGCCTCTTCCCAGCAATGCCCAGTAACAGGACCAGAGGCAGGAGCACACACTGAAACACTGGAGGTTCCCTCTGAACAGAAGAAAAAAAGCTTTTTCACTCTGAGGGTGACTGAACACTGGCACAGGTTGCCAGAGAGGTTGTGGAGTCTCCCACCTTGGAGATACTCAAAAGTCCTGGGCAACTGGTTCTAGGTGGCCCTGCTTGAGCAGAAGGGTTGTTGAACCAGACAACCTCCAGAGGTCCCTTCCAGCTGCCACCACTCTGCAATCAGTGCTCTAGGATGCATTCAATTAGTGCTTTCCCACCACATGCTCAAGAACTTGGCACACTGTGGGGCGAGGATGCATTCAATTAGTGCTTTCCCACCACGTGCTCAAGAACTTGGCACACTGCAGGGTACCAACCCCATATCACGGAGGTGAAGGCAAGTCCTTCATTACCTATCTGCAAGCTGCTTAAGGGTTTGCTTCACTCTCCAAGATTGTTTTAAATCATTAACATTTCCAACATGCAAGTCACTGGATTTTTAAGAATCTTTTAATAAAACCTGCAAACCCTAAAAGTATGGCCTGCAGAGAAAAAAAAAAGACCGACCTGCAAGTTTTTGCTCAGATAACAAAACAAAATTAATTTTCAAAGCTCTCCTCATATCCCCTGCCTGAGCACCTCATACTAAAAGTATGGCCTGCAGAGAAAAAAAAAAGACCGACCTGCAAGTTTTTGCTCAGATAACAAACCAAAATTAATTTTCAAAGCTCTCCTCATATCCCCTGCCTGAGCACCTCATAAAGATCACTTCTAAAATTTAATTTCCAACCATTCTTTGAAACTCAAAATTATGTCGGAGCGAATAAAACCCTTCCAGGGGAACTGAGAAGACAATTTCTCTTTGCAGCAAGAACACAATCTGCTCTCAGTTACAATGACCACCGCTGCCGGCATTAGAGAGGAGATGTAGGTGGCTACCGCTTAACACTGGCTTTCCTTTCCCCGTACCCTGGAGGAAATAGCAAAGCCTGAGCAGCCCATAAGATCCGAGCACAGGTGAGCAGCAGGATCAGGGGGCAGTCACAAGGAAAGGTGAGCAGTGAGGCTGTGCCCGAGAACGGCAAGAAGGTGGAGAAAAAACAAACCAAACAGAGCAAGGGCCAGCAAGATTTCACCAGCAGTTTCCCCCCATAACACAAGAACAAAAAGCAGGCAAGGGTCTTCTCTGAAGTAGAGACACTCACGTCTTTGCATGCCTATTTAATGTTGACTTTTAACCCAAAATGCACACGGGCACATATATATGGCAAAGGCCACTTTGTCACAGTCTCCAAAAAGAATGGAGGGACTCAGTGTTTGCATTTTGGGCTGGGGCTGACAAGGTTGTTTTCACTCCATCCCAAGCTCTCAATTTTCTTTAACCCCAATGTGTTCTCCACCCATTTAACAGCGGCCTGGAGCAATCTTGAGTCAATCACCTCCTTACCGCTCTCCAAAGAGGTCTGTGCCTTGTAAGCATCAGAGATTTCCCTGGGGCAGTAGAACAGAGCTTCAGGGCAACACCAACTCCTGAACGCCCTGTGGGAGACAGAAGTTGTCCAACGCCCCTCTCAAGCAGAGCTGTCAAATCATTTCTGTACTTCTACCTCCAAGCCCATTCCTACCTATGTCCAAACCAACCTGCTAGACTGCCTCCCAACATGCTGTTTCACACTTCAGCTTTCCAGGAGGGGGCTCAGGCATGAAGAAAAGCAGCAAACGCACTTCTACAAAAATTAAATGTACTGTCTGCAACTGCTTGCATCCCATTTAAGGCTGTCATTTCTCTTCGTCGGAGGCATCACAAAACCCCATGCAGTAAATGATGAGGCAACTCCAAAGCACTGCACCTAGTAAAAATTTAATATAATAAAACAAATTGAAAACGGCAACATTATTTTAACCATTCACAATTAAAGTGGAAAAAAAATCATAAGGCAGCCATTCATGGAATGATTTTGTGTACAAATGGTTTGGAAAGAGACAAAATTACAGTTCCATACATGGAGTCAGGTAAACAGCAATGACCACGCAGTGTTTTTCCCTGGAAAGCCAAGGCTGCTGAGAGATGTAATAAAAGGGCAGTAAGAAAAGAAAAAATAAATTTATTTTTAAAAGAAGTTCAAGGTGAACAGGAATCTGAAATTCATCATAAACTTTTCCTCCGTACTGCAACCACTCCACCCCCGAAAGAATAAAAATACACTTCCCTCCTCTTCTTCCCGAGTCCCAGCCCAGAACAGGAAGGCAGCAGGAGTATTTATTCCACAGCATCTCTCCCTCATTCTGCATAGACCTGATACCACACGGACACATCTGCTACTGTCAAAAACTCCTTGAAGGCTCTGAACTAGCTCCTGAATAAACACAGTAGTTTTCCTAGGCCTCTTGGATAACATCAGTCTTTTACACAACCTGCCTGGAAATGGTTCTTTAAAGTCATTGGTGGGTTTCTGTGTTTAACACCCAGCCATCTGACATCCCACAGCTATCAAAAATGCCTATCCTGGTGTGACAGCTCTGCCATCCTCACTTAGGTTAGTGTCAGTGCAGCTTCTGCATCTGTCATCAGGTGCTGAAAAAGGAGTATTTCCCTTCTTTATATAAGGAATAATAAAAGAATCAGAACAGTAGGGAAAGTACTGAACACACCCGGATCAACAGAAATAGCTTTAGTCCAATTCCTATCGCCAGTTAAGAAATCATTAACTGAAAAAACAGCTACGAGATGATACATTTCCTAGAGGGACTTAGAGAAGGAAAGGGGGATCTGCCTGGCACTTGGTTAAAGTGTTACCTGCTAGACCTGCTGCCACCTACCTCACAAGAGAAACCACAGGCAGAAATGGCTATTACAGAAAAAGCAAGAGGAATTTGTTTTGCACCAAGGTCCCCTGAGGAGTAGAAAATGATACCAGATGGCCCTGACTACATGTGGTGCTTGGATTTACTGTGACAGATGGGGAGATAGGTAAAAAAAGGGGATATGATAAAATGGACCATTTTATTTAACTCATTAAAATAGTCTGCCTCAAGAAAATAATCCTCCATGTGGAACTAACAATTTGGAAAGGTTTGATCACTTAAAATTGTATATTCTTCTTATCACATAATTGAAAGCTTCCTTGGTCACTGCAGTTTCAGCTACAGAATTGAAAATAATAGTTCAACACAGAGGTAACACAGGCAGCCAAAAGAAAATGCTGTTGCTACTTCTAAATGGGTAGGGAAGGGAAAAAATGAAAAGAAAAATCACGAGTCTTCTATCACTTAACCGAGTGCCAAAATTAAAAATACTCGTTATCAAAATTTTTGTGCCAGCTTTAAGTTCCAATGTTTTCATTTAAAATCCCACACCTGCTGCTATTACTTGGCCTCTTATAGTTTACGAATCATTAAACTGGTGGCTGCCCCAGAAATTGGAAACATGATGTGAAGGCCAGGAGAAAAGCCAAACGATGTCCGCAGTGAAAAGGCTGCCTGTCACGTCCTCACCAGTACACACTCACCAGTACACACTCACCCCATCAGGTACTATCCACAGCCTCCCACACTGGAACAAAATGCGTGAAACAAGGACCTGATGCAGGTACCTCCCTAGAACAGCTTCACTACTGGGGTGGGGTGCAAGTGACAGGTGATAGTTTAAAGAAAAAACACCTACCGTTTTACAAAATGTAAAGCATCTGATGCTGCACTAAGCTACCTTCTGCTTCTGCTGAGGATCTGGCAAACTCCAGCTTTTGGAAACAGTTAAGTGAAAAGATTAAGCAAAGTAAAATAGTGAGATTATCAAGGAAGGAGGTAATTAGGGGGCAATCAGGAAAAACACTCAGAGCTCTGATTTAAACATCCCTGTGTGTCATTCACATGTGTCAGTAACCTGTGTCACTGAACTTTTTAAACAGGCAACTCACTAGTTGCATATGTATGTTGTAAAAAAAAAAAAAAAAAAGTTTAAGTATGTGCAGGAGAGGATCTCATCCATGTCATTAACTTTGCAGTGGCTTTTCAGAACAGAATTAAGCTTTGAAGGTCTGACGTCAAAAATGCTTGTTTAGGCCTGACACACTCATTCTATCTGAAAATACTGTCTTGTGGGAAAAGATGATTTTGCATTGATTTTATATAGTAAAACAGACAAATGAACAAGCGCTCCTGGGGATCAGTCCTAGGTCCAATCCTGGGATACACCTGTATTGTTACAAAGCCAACAGACAAGGCAATGACTAGTCCAAGACTCAGGCCATACCTGTTACTGAACTAGTAGACAAAGAGGATAATGATAAAAATGTAAAGATGTTAAGAGGCACAAGGGCCTGCGCAGTATAAGTGTTATGAAAAACAGTCACACTCATTCAAATGGAAACAAGAAGCACTTCAGTTAAGAAGATATTTCAAGCCTTGAAAATACATTTAAAAAAAAAATCAAAAGAAAAATGTATTTGGCAATGTTATCTTTAAAAAAGTGCAGACAGAGTATAGATTAAAAAGGGTACACCACTGAAAAGTTTTCCCCTAAAGAAAGAATTTTATGTTGAGTCTGTGCATGTCAAGCATTCCTGACTTTCCAATGCACTACAGTTATTAGATAATAATATATTTTGCATAAGAGAAATGGTGCCTGACAAGAGAAGGCTGTGCCTTGGAAAGGGAGGGATCTTTTACTACTGTTGTGCAGTCTCACTCTTCCCACAGTAACCTCTTAGGTATCAGCAGTTGGCAACAAGGCCTCCAGTAGATTCACTAAAACTAACACTTATCAGTAAGAGGCAAATGCACAATAGCTAAAGTAAAATGCCTAACTGGTCTGCTGGGAACCCATAATTTGGGTTTGTTTTTTTTTTTTAGAACTGCTTTAGAAATACTTCGTACTCTATCTGCAGCATAAGTATTTAACTAAACATGTTGTTCTGCTAGCCCTAATATTTTTTATTTAATGACATCCCTTCCCCCCCCCCGATTTCAGCAGTTCAGACTTTTGAAAGTGAGCTAGTAAAGTCCTCTGGTCCCTCAACAGCTGTCTCCACCAGGTTTCTACTCCTCAGAGCCCAAAACAGCTCGATTTCAAAAGACACTATGGTTCTCTCTCTCAACAGTAGCAGTAGTGTAATTACAGTACCCAATACCTAATTCCTGCTAACATTTCTGGTGCCTACACTTTACTTGGCAGAAGACTATCTCCCAAGAAATACTGCCTTTTAAAATTTATTAACAATTTCATAAACAATCAATATTCTCCTTACTTCTATCCTTCGCCTTAAATAACGGAATACACCACAAAATTCATTTGCACTTTCTCAACCAGCTGATTCCCTACTCTAATCCTACACATTGTCTACATCATTTCTTTCTTATACTGACACTTCTGTGACAATAGCAGTGTTGTCCAGAATTCCAAGTGCAGCTCATTTTTGCAATACAATTAGTGACAAACATTACAAGACCAGTCACGCCATCAGGACAACATAGAACCGATGTGGGGAGAGCCCTCTTCTTCATTAGTTAGACCTTCAGCCTCTCACAAGGCAGCCATCCTTTGCTTTTGCTCTCAGCTCTGAAAGCTGAATTGCAGGATACTTTGGTGATTGCAAATTCGTGATGAGTCGTTATGTTCTTCCCCGCTCACCTTTCTTTACTCCAAATTCCATCTTCCCTGAGAATAGGGCCAGAAGTAACAATTAAAATAGCAAATGTCTTCAGAAAAAAAAGTTACATAGAATTTATGTCCGGCTGCCATTTTGCTACACTAAAAACTTTCCCAGTATTCCTCATTTTGCAATCAAGGTTCCCTCTGAACTCCGTAAAGTGGATGGGATGGATGATGGGTAAGAGACAATGATAAAGGGAGCAGCCCACATTTACTGCTCACGTCAGATCAAGAAGAACGGTGAAATTCGAACGTTTAGTGATGGTGTCCAATGGACAAAACTAGAGGAATAAGGCATCCTAATACTAGGGCTGCCACCTCCAGACGACTGAGTCCTTTTCCTCCGCTTGGTTCAGGTTTGTGGCTATGAGCAATTCCTCCTACTTCTGGGAGGACGTGGACTGTGGCAACGTAAAGAAAAGTCCCAGCAGAAAACAGCATAGCAACTCCGGTGGCATTGACTTCTGAAAGGGCTTCTTTGCTGCTCTGAAATGGAAAATAACAGAAAGAGCAAAAGTGAGGATAATCAGAAGCTCTTCAAGCAATAATAATTAAAAAAAAAAAATGTCCAGACACAGTAGGATTTCTATCAATTCTTAGTCTTTCGTAATGACAACGGTTTAATGTGTTGTTTAATGTCTTCCACATTACTTGTAGTAACTGACATTTTAAAGTTGATGTGGGGGGCAGAAAGACACCCCTCAGTCCAGATAGGTCACTACAGACTTCTAGGAACCCTTACAGAAGAAAAAAGCCACAATCTATGCAGAAACGTCTTGTTTGACCATTTCACAGCAACATAAAAAAAATTGTCAAAATGACAAAAAGTGCTTTGAAAAATATAAAATTTAGATTGCAAGCTCACAAAATTTAGGAAGGACACTGAGGAATGACTTTTTTTTTTTCTTTCTAAACAGTTCAAATAAGATGTTAGCCTTCGCATATCTGGTCCCCTGCTGGTCAGAGCAAGATTTGCTAGATTTAAGCCCCAAATCATCACTCTTTCATTATTTCATTTGGATGTACAAGTAAACATCCCAAACTTTTCCAGAATTTCCATGCAAATTCCATAAATAAATACATCTTCTAGATCAAAAACCTGAGCACCTCTTCACATTCATGCTAGGATTAGGATCATGCTACATATCATTGAATGTAATGAAATGCAAACCTCCTTGTATCAGTTTCAAAATGCTTCTTGAACAATTTCCAGCTCACGTGTGCTGTTAGTTCTCCAGTATACTCTCAGGTTACTTTTCCAAAGAGCAGAAATACATTTTCTGCTCTGGAACTGTTGAACTACTGTGACAGGTTTTGCATCTTATCAGTTCTGTGTTCTTTCTGAAGTGCAAAATGCAAACCCAACTCTTAGTGAGCCTACACCGAAAGAATGCTCAAACACCATTCTCATTTCTGTTTACAACCCCCACCCCTTTCTGCTGCCTCCTGTGCCAGGGCTATCAACTTCTTTCCCGCAAGTAAAGGGACTGGCCTAGATGATTTACTTAATCTTTCCTTTTGTGCCTTGAGTTTTATGAGATCACGTTATACTCTTTATGGTAACATCGTGAATGTCACCAGCACAGCCCACAACAGTTAGAAATACAGGAGCATCATCACAGGATAAACTCATTTCACAGACCATTGGTTGTATAGAGCCAAGAAAAGACTATGCTTTCAGGAGCATGAGAAGCAACCAGCTCTAGAACGGTGGGGAAAACTAGCAAAGATGATTGTCTACCTGCATATTAAAATGAGAATGCATGCAGCAACACTGAAAATAACTACGTGGTAATCAGATAAAATGTGGTATGTGAAATTTTCAGAGGGAAGAGGTAGGAAAAAGACAAATCAGTCTTCTAAAAAAACCCGAAACCTATACATAGCTATAGAGTATCTATACCACTGGTTCTGATGGAAAGAAGGAGTTATTGTTCCATGCATTCATATTGCTAAGTTTTTATCTACTTTTTATTAAACATCTCCTTTCTGCTAATTTTTTTCAGTTTGGGTGTTTATTTATTTTTTCAATTAACCTCATATGTTGTTTTTTTTCCCCCCAAATTCCACCACTAAGCTACATTTTGGGCAGAACAAGTATCACAGACTTACCTTGCTTAGCCCTAAGTATGTCACCATGGACATAACAGGTGCTGCCAACGCAAAGACCAGCAAGTGTTTTCTAATTCTATTCCGCTCCAGCCCAGCGTGCATCAGGAAGGAAACCAGGCCAAAGGCAGCTGGTGCCTGCAAAAAACCACAATACTCACTGGTAATACAATCCCTTCTAAAATCCCCTGAAATCGGAGATAAAGTTGAAATACAACTTACTAGTATGAAATGCATTGAATTGGCAGAAATTCAGGGAAAGCACTAGTATGTTGCAGTTAACCCAAATCAATAGAATTCTGCAGAATGCCCTACCTTAAGAACAGTACCTAATGGAAACCTGTGCTCAGTCTCTCAAAGTACACATATTTGTAGTCATCATAAGTGTTATAATGTTCATTCTGAGTGGTTGTTATAATCCGTAAAACACCATTAACTTCTGTAATTTCTTTTTTTTTTTTTGTCCTGATATTATGGATCCTTAGATGGACAGTTTCTACTACACTTTCAGCTACAGCAGAAAAATTCTACAATTAACATGGAGAGGAAAACATTCCCAAAGAAATACAGCTGTCAGCCCTCGCATGAGCAAAGACTTAAAATCTCTTTTGATTAGTTCAAGCTTCAGTTCCCTTTCTGTTCCCACCGGGAAGCAAACAAATATTTCCTTCCTCTCCCTCTGCTAGCATCCAGTTTCTCATCCACAAGGCGTAGCTGTCCAGCTGCTCATGAAATTGACTGTATTTGTGCTCAAAGACAATAACAGTCCATTCTGACAATTTTATTTGAGATAAGTCAATAACTAAAATATATCAAGTAGTTTTTATACACAGAATCTTTTTTGTTTTAAGCCTAGAAGGAGGAAACTGTTACTGAGGGGAAAAACGATGAAAAAGGCAACAGCATCAAATAGGATCAGAAGAATAAAAAAAGACACCAGAGAATAAATACGTTTCCCTTTCGATACTAAGGATTTATTGACATTCTTTCATAGGAAATCTGATATTGTACAATTTCAGAAGACAGTTAATTTGAACATTAAGAATAATAAAAATAAGTTTCACTTGGCAATAGCCATAAAGTAAGATTCACAGCAAGACTTGACATTGTCACCCTTGAAGAGGGTTATGTAAAGCATAGTTCATTGTATGAACAGTGAAGAAGTAGCAGATCTGTATTTCCTAACATTTTGGATATGCAATTACAGAAGCAAGATTTTGGATGAACGTGTGACTAACTACTGTAATATATACAATATATATATTGTGCTGCCGTAAGACAAATATGCATCTGCAGACATATGCTTAGAATCCATATAGCTAATATATACCTTTGTACAAACATTAAGGAAAAAAGAACCTCCTCTCTTCAAGAGCCATTGTTTGCTTGTTACCAGACAAAGTTTAAAAGATTTTCCTGCAAAAATGGCATATGACTGACATTGAAGCTACCACAATAACAGAGGTAACTGAACGTTTTATTTTAGTACTCTGGTATTAGGTGGCTTCAAGAGTAACCCTTTAAATACTAAAATGCTTTATAACATAAATATCCTTTCAATTTTCTTGACAATATCACAGAACCAAAAAACTATTGTAAGCAGCATAAAGCTGCTTGTCCTCCTTGAATACACTAGCATATCGTTCTGTGCTTCACCCTCTAAAACTTCTCTAAATACGTCTCTTACAGCGGTAAGAATCTTGGGGTCAGGTGGGAGTTGGTGGTTTTTTACTTGGGTTTTTAAAAAACAAAACCAAAAGCCACCCATGAAACACAACACCTCACTTTATCCAGAAAAAAATCAGCCTGAAGCTGCCACATTTCTTCATGAGCTATTATTCTCTCCCTACTTTTGGGAAGACTTTTCCCAATCACTGCAGCCAAGGTAGGCAGTTGCAATTCTCTCTCACTTGTGCCTCATTCAGATTTAGCATCCAACATTTGTTATTCTGTCATACACCATACCAGTGCTTTTCGGTCCTTGAGGCTGTACCATTAACCCTTTTATTTCAGTTGTGTTACACATTTCTAGGTTACATCACTAAAGAAACTTAAGATCTTTAGTAATTTCTATATGCTTTAACGGTCTTTTAAAGAAAAATACTTTTTGGATGATGACTCACCTTGTGCAACATAATTGCAACAAATACTATCAACTGGACGCTAGTCTGAGAAGTAGAAGCTGCTGCACCCAATGCAACACCATCAGCTGAAAGAGGAGTGCAAATTCATGGATTATTCCTCCATCCTGAGCAGTTTCAGCTTTCCCACCCCCCCAGTGGTTGACAGTACAAAACATGTCGATCTGTTACTCAAAATGCCATTAACTACACCAACCCAGCACAGGATTCGCTTCCCTTTTTAAGCCACAACAATTTCAGGACTTTCAGACAACCCTCAACAGGAGTCATCTTTTTTCCCCCAAGACCATAAAAACCCTATTGAGAATCTACTCAGTATTCACACATTTGGACATGTTAGAACCAGGTAACAAGTTATTTTAGTCTTCTATAGTAGAAGTGGGTTCCTGTCTAAAATTAAAAATCTGCCTTAGATTCCATGCATTAAAATTTTAATTGTTCCTCTTTAAATTATTTTAAAAAATATGGATATTATTGTAAATACTACTTTCTTACCATTTAAAATAAATATATTGTCTAAATGAAATAGGAAATGGATACTATATTAATCTTTAACATACAGATACTTTGGTTAGTGAAAAAAATGTATTTTTTTTATCAAAATCTTGACTTATTTAGACAATAACTTTCAGCAGGAGAGTAAAAACATCATATTTGTACTATATATATATATATAGTGAAGAATTACAACATGAACATAGGTTAACTGCTGTACATGTGTAACTTTTTCAGCCCTTGCAAGTCATCCCAAATCTGTTTGAAATCTTTGCACTCCACCCTATAATCTCCTTTTTTCCACAAGATAATTCTTTTTTTAAACTTAGGTTTTTTAAACCCTTAGTTCTTCCTTCCTCCTCCCCATGTTTGTGTTGTTTTTTTTTAATTAAAAAAAGTCACCCTCAAAACCAAAACACAGCTGTTTCTAACACATCTAAAGACAAGCCAATGCAATGGAAGTCCTTGTCAGCTGCTAACAATAAATAGGTCCCACATTACCTGCAGCGTGGACTACTAGTCCCAGCGTCGTGGTGATTTTCGAGTTGCCTGATCTTGCAGCTTCTGGATCTGAAACAGTTATGAGAAAAAAAAGTTAGTATAAAGAGAACAAACATACAAATTATGCTAGAAGAAAAACTGTAGGTTCCTGTCTAAAATTAAAAATCTGCCTTAGATTCCATGCATTAAAATTTTAATTGTTCCTCTTTAAATTATTTTAAAAAATATGGATATTATTGTAAATACTACTTTCTTACCATTTAAAATAAATATATTGTCTAAATGAAATAGGAAATGGATACTATATTAATCTTTAATATACAGATACTTTGGTTAGTGAAAAAATGTATTTTTTTATCAAAATCTTGACTTATTTAGACAATAACTTTCAGCGGGAGAGTAAAAACATCACATTTGTACTACATATATATAGTGAAGAATTACAACATGAACATAGGTTAACTGCTGTACATGTGTAACTTTTTCAGCCCTTGCAAGTCATCCCAAATCTGTTTGAAATCTTTGCACTCCACGCTATAATCTCCCTTTTCCACAAGATAATTCTTTTTTTTAAACTTAAGTTTTTTAAACCCTTAGTTCTTCCTTCCTCCTCCCCATGTTTGTGTTGTTTTTTTTTAATTAAAAAAAGTCCTTAGTTCTTCCTTCCTCCTCCCCATGTTTTTGTTGGTTGTTTTTTTTTTTGTATTAAAAAAAGCCACCCTCAAAACCAAAACACAGCTGTTTCTAACACATCTAAAGACAAGCCAATGCAATGGAAGTCCTTGTCAGCTGCTAACAATAAATAGGTCCCACATTACCTGCAGCGTGGACTACTAGTCCCAGCGTCGTGGTGATTTTCGAGTTGCCTGATCTTGCAGCTTCTGGATCTGCAACAGTTACGAGAAAAAAAGTTAGGATAAAGAGAACAAACATACAAATTATGCCAGAAGAAAAATCGTGTAATCGTACAAGTCTCTACCAGCAGTTTAGGTAGTTCTATTCAGTTCTGAATATTCTTCTTAATATCTTTTGTGTTTCTGTATTAGATTTACGGTAAATTTTTTGATACTTAACACCTTCAAATTACTTGAAGTTCTACCAACAAACAAGTGACAGAATCATAGACAATTCTTTGCAATTTACAGGATCACTGATATAAGCAGAAGCAGTCGTTTTTCTTAACTTCCTGAAAACAAACGTTAAACTTCTGTGCTACCAAGAGGAAGACAAGCTCGTTTTGCATCCACAGAATTCAGAACTGCTCCAAGAGTCAGGATGATTTTCCCCCATATAGTCCAGTGTCAGCTTTTTCCTTCAGGTGACAGTCTGGGGCAGTCTCTGTTGCGCTGATTTTCCAGCAATTCCCAGCAACAAAAAATTCTACTTGTCATTGGCAGCAGTGGAAAGATTTCCCTCCAACATTACACACCACAGAGAAGAAGTGCAGCCAGTCCTGCTTGAGGCCCAGCGTTTTTTTGACAATTCATACAGCACAACAGGGCAATATCCACCACGAGGCAACAGACACTGAAAGTGTTATGAAGAATCACTGCAGCAAACAGGGCAGGTAAAGTCCTACACAAGTACAGAAATCTTAACTGTTTAATTACAAACAGTTGAGCAGCTGCTATTTAATTATAGTAGTGGTGAGTAAGCTGACTACAAGCACACTTACACAGCTACTTTAATAAGTCTGCGCAGCTGCCAAAAGGGAAAGTCCTGTTCTTTTCCTCCTGCCTGTCTCCCTGCCCTCCAGTGTCCCTCTTGATGCCCACACACCCACGTAGTTGCCCAGTGAGTCAGCTCAGGGAAGTGAACGGGCTAAAAATTAATGTATTCTCTTCAGTCAGATTGATGTTTTGAATCAAGGGGAGTCTGTTTCAGCAATCAATTGCATAAGCTCCTGTTAGATGACTGTGATAGTCTATTCATGTCAAAGCATTCACAAAGAACATTTCCTTTAAATTTGTCTTGGATTGACCAGAACTAAACACACTCAAGGAGTGTGTCACATTTAATTTCATACCTCCATTCTAACCTAAAGAATTTTTCTAGTTCAGAGAAAGTAAAATCTAGCCACTTGGAGATAACAAAACTACCAGACATTGGTTCAAATGAGAAAAATGTTTTTCTCTGGTAGCAGAGAATAATTGCAATAACACTACAACATTCCCTGTGACAGAGAGAGATACTAGACAAAACTTTACTACATATCCTAATTTATAGTGTTTATCTCTAACACAGATCACAATCAATTTTCTCCTGATAGCTGCTTTCATCAGAAACATCAGAAAGGCTCATAACTTGTACAAGCCAAGGATACTCCTGGCAGTTGCTTACCAACATCCCCTTGTCATTCTCACTGCCTCTGTTTCCTTTGAAAAGCTCTGAAAATCAGCTAGCCATCATTGTGGCTCCATTTACACTTCTCCAGGAGCACAAACACCAGACAGCCCCCACAGTGGCTTCCCATCCATCCCACCACACTAACCCCATGTAAGCATTTACACAACAGCACTATGGGCTGCCAAGGATCCAATCAAAACACATCCTGCCTCCATGTGTGTGTTCTACTTCTCCTTCAAGATCAATTCCGTCATTTTTGAGGGCCAAATTCTACCATCAGAAGAAATTATTTGGGAGAAAATGACCAGCAAAAGGCTATAAAATACTTTTTTCGGGGGACAAAGTGCCTTTGGTGCATTTCAACCTGCAGTTCAAGCATGAAGCCACAGGCAGGAAAAACAAGCAACCTTAAGCATTTTGAGAGTCTTGCAATGAAGCTGAGAAGTCTTTGGACCAATGAGGAAATATTTTGAAGTAAGTGAGGTTCCAGACTAGTGTGGGAGTCCAGCTGTGCAGTTACAGTTAAGGGCTTACATCTAATCATTTCTGCAGTCTTATGTAAGATAACGTCCTGTTCTTTGCAAATTTTGTCTACATGTATGACAATTAAGTAGGAAAAACAAATGAAGGTAAGACTAACCTGAAGTTTTTTGGAAAATCAAAGAAATCCCCTATGGGTGATGCTGTAAAACAGACAATAACTCAAGGTGACTTGACAGTCACCCTCCACTTCCACATCGTATGTGCTCACACAATTACTTCATGTTAGCAAAGCAAGCTCTCATATTATGCTGAATTCCGGGATAGATATCCAGCAAAAACATTTCACACAGACCTTGCTTTATGTCTGTAAAGCACCTACTGAAACTCCGGATGTGATTAGTTAAATTATTAAGGGCTTACATCTAATCATTTCTGCAGTCTTATGTAAGATAACGTCCTGTTCTTTGCAAATTTTGTCTACATGTATGACAATTAAGTAGGAAAAACAAATGAAGGTAAGACTAACCTGAAGTTTTTTGGAAAATCAAAGAAATCCCCTATGGGTGATGCTGTAAAACAGACAATAACTCAAGGTGACTTGACAGTCACCCTCCACTTCCACATCGTATGTGCTCACACAATTACTTCATGTTAGCAAAGCAAGCTCTCATATTATGCTGAATTCCGGGATAGATATCCAGCAAAAACATTTCACACAGACCTTGCTTTATGTCTGTAAAGCACCTACTGAAACTCCGGATGTGATTAGTTAAATTAAATCCCAATAGCGGTCAAGAAAAATGCAATTTGCTATTTAAGACTAATTGGCAAAGTGAATCTTTACTTACCATCTGTAGAGTGCAAGTGAGAGCTGCCTATCTGGTCCACCAGCAGCATGAAGACAAAGCCGAGGACAAGGGACACACCGATGTAGGCGTGCAACCTGGAATGGTCGTGGCCATACTCATGTACAGCCGGGATTTCTGCGACCTTCTCAGACTCCATCACACGCTGCATCTCACTCGCTGGGTGGTGCTTCCCTGCGGCAGGAAAGCAAACAGATTAGGGGACAGGGGACTCAACACAGGATGGTCGCTTTTCTCCTCTTTTGCTGAAAGCATTCCTCATGCTTTCTTGGACAATACACAAAACAAAGGACTGAAGCTGCCAAAGGAAATTTGTTTGCTGGTAATATTCAAATTAAGGCTTCGCTACACATATACATAGGTTTATGATCAAATAATAATCTGAATCATTATATGCTATTTGGTCTCAGCCTACAAGGTCAAAAATTAGAAATAAGGTATTCTCAGGCCTATAGGAAAATACAGAAGTAATAGTAAATGACTTTGATAGAAACGATAAACACCTGTTTTGGTAACAAGCAACCAGTCCGAGTTAAATTATACTTGGAACTGGACAAACACAGACACCTCTCTCTTCCTCTCTTTTTTTTCCTTCCAGTTACACAAATATACCTCGAAGTTTCCTTAGGCACCTTTCTAGGGTGCCATTTAATTACATAAATGAGTGAAGTTGCAGGAAAAATGTACTGAATGCTGTTAAGGTCTCAGAATCTTAAGCTTAACTCTGAATATCCTAAATATTAGAAATATTTTTTGTAGTTAGACCCATTAATTTTGCCTCTCTGCAATGTAAAAAAACACCCCAAAAAATCCTTACAGACAGACTGGTTTTAGTCACAATACTGGGAGCTGGGAACTGAGTCTGGATTCATTCACAGAACAATTTCTTTTTACCTAGGTAAATGCTTCTGATATTACTACGGCAGTAACGGGAAGTGCCTTTTTTCCTCTACATATAAAACTTTAAGTTTTATAGCATCGTACCCATTAATTTTGCCTCTCTGCAATGTAAAAAAACACCCCAAAAAATCCTTACAGACAGACTGGTTTTAGTCACAATACTGGGAGCTGGGAACTGAGTCTGGATTCATTCACAGAACAATTTCTTTTTACCTAGGTAAATGCTTCTGATATTACTACGGCAGTAACGGGAAGTGCCTTTTTTCCTCTACATACTATAAAACTTTAAGTTTTATAGCATATAGCTCTAAACAGTAGACTGTAGTTTTCATACATGAAAAGTATGCCCCATTTAGTGGGGGAAAAAAAGCAAACATTCACAGCAATTGTATTTACTGCTAGCCATATTATTACAAGAAAAATTTAGTCTACTTAGAATTAAAACTGAATGGAGAGCAAACCCACAACTACAGCTCATTAGAGACATCTGACATCAGAGTGCACAAATTACAGTACAGTATAAAAGCATAATCAGAGGTTCTTTCACTTCTTGATAAAGGATGATTCTATATATTATCTTCTGTTTACTTTAAATTTAAGCAGAATAACAAAAATTTAGTGGAAGCTAAAAAGGATAAATTAAAGCATATTACTAAAAAGAAATTTTAAACAGTGTAGAAACAAGAAGAAAAGCAGAGTATTACAATTATCTCTCAATCTCAGATCAGCAACATTACATCAGACACTTGCAAAGTTCTCTACAGCCTCAGCTTGATAGTCCTTTCTCCTGTCACCACTAAGTAGTTGCTGTTTATCTTCAGATAAACTTCTGATTCTGAGCATACTGGAAAAATCTCATACATGCAATGGCAATGTAATAGCATAAGATCCCAAGCTAAAGCAAGATTTAAAATGCACTCCAAAGAGAGGCAATGAGCTCTGACTATTTAAAATAATGTCATAAGCTCAAATCAAGGTTTACTTCGACTTCTGGGTATAAGATGTGCTCCACACTCATATCTCTACAAGACACATAATAGCCGTTAGCTTCGAGCTATTAATCAGAGCCTGTGAGGTTTTGAAGACTCTCAACAACCCTGTGCAGATTCTACATTTAATACCACCCAAGAAAGAAATGTCTCCTACTCTGTGAATTAGTCCTATATAACCATAATTTTCAGCCAACTATATTAAGGTAGCTTAATTCCAAGATGCTCTTCAGTTTCAAAGGAGGAAATTCTTATGACGGCAAGTACATATGGATCTATAAAACGCTTCCTGCGACTGCTTTAATGAGAAGCAATCTAAACTAGAAAAAGCAACAGCAAATAGTCCACAATTTCATTCTCTGCCAAAGGCGTCTTTATACCTCCTTTGAAGTTCCAGTGAAAGTTAAAGTTTAACCCTCCCCAGAACAAGGAGCACTACACGTGGCAGTATCATGTGTTTGTGATTCTGTGCCGGATTTGCTGTGAAACCTTCCCACCAAACTCATGGTAAAAGCCCTAGAAACAAGCCCAAGCACATTGTAACACCATGACCTAAGTTATCTTGAACAAGGCCATCTGGGTTCTTACCCTCCAAAATGTCTTCATAAAGTGCATGTACTCCTTCTGGCACGATGACAGCCAAGGCAGTTCCACACAGCAGCCCAGCGCCCAGAACAGTCACCAACTTTAATCTCTCCTGCAAGCAAGTAGAAAACAAGTATTACCTTTAAGAAAGAAAATGTTTTCTTTACTCTGCATCATTAACAAAGGTTGGGGCAGGGGAAAAGGGGCAAGAAGGAAGAGAATGATCCACAAAACCTCTTGCTGATTTTTATTCAAGAGCTCCAGTTGCAGAGTCCTATACTTCTAACGATTAACTTTCTGGAAAGTGAACACATGCAGCGTCTGATGCAATCAAGTGAAGTAGGAAATGAAAGTTAAAGATGATCCATTTGACTGTTAACATCAGACAAGAAATTAAACAGTGCATACTTCAAAATAGCAAGAATTGCTATATTTGGCACTAATGGTTATTGGGGTCTAGCTCACCCTCTAGGGACTCAAACTGTAGGCCTTGCGGAGACAAAGACTGATGTGCATGAATTTTGAAGCACATTTGCAACTCTACATTTTATCTCCATTCCAGGTTTGTTTTCAAATATATCCTTCCTACTAGAAATCATACATAAACATGCAAGTTCCCTAAAGTCTCTGCTAGCTATGGCACAGAGCAAGATCAATTGCTCATTTGCCAAAAAAGCCAATCTAAATAATAATTAAAAAAAATACAAGAAAGAAAACTAAATTACCAAAAGCAAAACCAGAAAGAGAACCACTAACATAAATGCATCTACAGATAGAAATACATTGGTTGAGTATGAAAACTGCTAAGTCAGCTGTATTTATATAACACAGAAAAGGACTAAGAAAAGTTTTAGGACTACAGAAAGAAAAAAAAAGGAAGATTTTAGACAAAAAAAGCAGCAGGAGCTCTACTTTCACCTACGAGTTTAGAGAGACAGAAGAAATTAAGCTGTTATTAGACTGTGACAAGAGAGATGGAATATATTTGAGTATCTAAACCAAACAGTTGCTCTTGTGCAGAAGCTTGCCCTTAAAATTGCCATACTTTAATGGCCTTCTAATAGAGTATCACTTAAGAACCAACTTTCTTTAAAAACATAAAACTGTGGATAAGAGAGTAATGCAAGACACTTTCTTTTGTACCTGAAAGATCTGATGATGTTCCATGTATTAAAAAAAAATATATATAAATAAGGTGGCAGGTGAAGTTTTAGAACCACAGCATGACAGCACTTGCACAATGTCAGGTAGCTACAAAATATGGCAGAAGGGACTGAATCCCAAAAATAGGTCCAAAACTACAGTAATAAAATATAATTTTAAAAGTCTTACTCAAATGAGAGTTTGAATGAGGGAACTGCATCAGTCAAACTGATAACGGTGCTAATATACATTTCATGTCAGTCTTTTTTTTCTTTTTAATCTGATTAGGAGATGCTTAAATGCAAATCAGTGCTTTTTTTTTTTTTTTTTTCAACCATTTCTAAGCCTTCCAGTGGCACTTTAAAAGGAGTTAAAGACTGTAAAGGCATTTAGGGCATTAGAAATCACATTCTACTCTCCAGGTAATTACAGAACATGGCAATCCCCCTCTTCTCTCTACAAAGACAGGTTTTAATACATATTTGTTACATAAGCATTGCAAATTTGCAATTAAACTTTAACAAAAAAATACACAAACTTAATGTTCTTATAGTAAAGAAAAATAGTTTAGTTCATATTCGAAGACAAATTTCTACAAAAAAGATTTAAAAACACACCCACAAAGAATTTATAAGTGCTTGCTACCATGAGTAAGAGTTATCTTTCTAGTTATATTCTAAGTTTGGGCAACAAGAGAGATATCACCCCTCCCAAACCGACTGAATTCTGTTTTACCAGTATAAGAATACTTTACTATTACTTTTGGCTTCCTTGCAACTACAACATTGACAGGCTAAAGTCAAACCCATATACTGAACATCCAGTTATGTAAACATTTAATAGACTCTAAAAATATGACAATTTGCTGAGACTGTTTCTCGTAATTTCTGTAATAGCCCTTATCATATCATATGAAGCAACCATAAGAGTTTAGATGCTCATAACTACGTAGCATACTTTTTGTGGCCAAATCATCATATTCTCCAATGCAAAATGAGATGTCTGGGTGCTACCAAAATACTAACGTTAATTACTGAGGACCCGGAGACAGAGGTCAGCGTTTAACTAACAGGAAACCACTTGCCATGTACCGTTATTATGCCATCCATTCTCCTTCATCCACCATAGCGACACACGTCGTTTCATCTCCCAAAATAGGCCACACTTGCATAGAAGAAATAGGAGGCTCTAGAGAAATGCACAACTAGCTTTCTGAAAGCAAGCCAAATGTGACCATATGGAAACAATTAGAGCACTACTGGGGAAATTTCAAATAGTACTATGCAAAAGATGCAAACACCTGTAAAAGCTTCCACAAACACGCACTGTACACTGGCACGTGGAACAATCACACTTGGTAAACTGTTATACAGTGACAATCTACATGAAAAGATAATCTTCAGCACCCACTGTTCATAAAATCGTTTTTAAAAAATATAGTGTCTTACAAAGAAAAACAAGATTATTTTTATACTGTAGCACTATAATCTCTTTTACATACATACATAAATACAGGGAAAAATGTGTCAGAAGTAATACTGTCTTATTACAACTGCAACTACAGAGCACTGCTTGATTTCATTTGGGCATCTGTGAATTTTAAAGATCCATAAAAATAACACATACTAACAAGTTACTGTTTAAAGAGAAGTTTTCATCTCCTTTTCAGTACAAAATATTTTGACAGTGAATACAGCAATCTAATAAATTGCAGCCTACCCAGACAGGCAAAAGTCATCTAGGTTGATCCAAGAAATCAAACCATTTCAGTTACAAAACCCACTTGTTTGTCTCTCGTTAAAAACAGGAGCAACACAGTAAACAGTGTTAAAAAAATGCATGGGAAAAGTCTTAAATCCTCAAATTAGCAAACTGTTCTCCAGCTCAGCGTTTGCTTTAAATCTACGTGGTACTGAAACTCGGACCTAGCAAAAACTCACACCTGCAAGCAGTTTCACTCCAGTCAACACTGCCCGCCTATGTTAGGCCAGGAAAGATTCAAAGTGCTAGAACTCAATTTTTAAAATTTTTTTTTTTTTTTTTGCACATTTAGGCTACGACATAGGAGACAGTCTCAAGAACTGGGATACAGTTGTTTCCAGAGTAACCAAAGTTAGACCAACAGAGTACACTGCATATAGAAATAAAGGGAAGCTCTGTTCAGTCTCTACCTTTTTACCATCAACATTTAGTCATAACTGGCTTTCCTGGAGTTTTATGTTTTCAAAAATATCCAAATATAATTAAAAGAATAGAAACCAGGGTGAAATCAGAACACAACCGATAGATTCCACAGCAAAAAAAACTCATTTGAAGAAATGTATTATTAACACTAATGAACAATTTTATTGTTCTCCAGCATCTGGGGTATATTATGCAAAGCATTCATTTTTGTTTTCGAACCATTATAAATGGCCAGTGGGAGGAGGCATTTTTCTCACCAAGGCCACCTACAAAACTTTTTGCAAATGACAGAATGCACAGTCCAGTCATTTCAGCTTGAAATTGTTCTCAGACCTAAGCAATCATTTTTAAACAAAACAATCCTAACATCTAATTATACAGTCCCAGGATTAGCTAGTATTTGCACATAATTCACAGAGAGATTCAGCTCCTCTTTTAAACCAGCATAGCGCGTGGATCCTTAAAATATCTAACTTGTGTAAAACTGTATCAAGAATATCTGAGAGTCTAAGGTATCACAATAAACTTGATCACACGTGTGTGTGCTGCAAAATACGGCACACACAAAAGACTAATAAATGTGTGATCATTGCTTACACAGAGTGCTTTTTTTTTTTTTTGATCCACAACAGGTCTGTATTCCTGTAGCTGTTGGGAGCCCCAAAAGGTTTAGGAGCCTCCTGATTTGTCTATATAAACATAAATAAGCCACATAAAAACAGATCAAGAACTCTACGTTCAAACCATACCAAATACAAAGTTGGAGACAACCGATGACTACCAAGCATATACATGAGGAAATACTAAATAAAATAATAAAAAAACCCCAAAAACAACGCTAGCATGCTAGGCAGCATTCTCAGCAAATTTGCAAAAAATTCCTTCGTAGGCTTCAGGGCAAAAGTGAGTTTTGAAGAGCAAGATGGCGGAAGCAATAGCATTAAAGACATGTAAGGGAAGGTCCATCAAAGCATCAGATGAAGCAATGGCAAAACAGAACTATGCTAATGTTTATGTAAAGCCTTCAGAATATATGGTCACGTTTCAATCCATTTAGCTGAACGGTACTGTTACCAAAACAGTTCCCTCCTTGCTGTTCAGAGTCTACTGCTGCCAAAGCCTCCTAGAAACGATGGGACCGAAGGACTGCAACCACGATGGAAGAACAAGTCACATCTCTCTTCCAGCATTTTACTTTCCAAAAGAAGTACTGCTCCCAGTAGAAATGGGAAACCTCTCATAGGAGAGCTCTCACCACCTTAGAACAGCTAAATGCTTACTACACCACAACCGTATACAACAATCATCACTTAGAAAGGTTAACAACCCCTCGGGCATGAGAGGATATTACGAGACTGCCAGAGACTGTAACCATCAACACCTCAGTAATCATCTCTTAGAAGCACACAAATACATTCACTTCTAAACTCCTGTTGGAACTGGGAACTCATTCAATCCATCAAAGTCTTCCTCTCCTTTAACATCACCTTCTGTATCCAAGATAATTTACCAGAAGAATGCCTTGAATTACACAGGACAGGATCACAACTTGAAGTTCTGTGGTAATCAAAGAGCTAAGGTAGCACAAGTTACGAACAAAACTGTGAACCAAACCAAAGTTTTCTGAAAAAGTTATCTGAATTGCTTTTAAAGCCTTGAGTAGCCCATACACACAAAATAAAATTTAACCCTACTTCAGAAGTTCCTGACACAAGCTTATAAGAATAACAATGTCCAGCTCCTATTATGTCTTTCCATTACATGCTCAGAGTTTGCTTCATCTGTAGATGAGATGCTTAGATTGAATCTGGTACACTTTTAACAGCTTTTATACACGTTGTAGAACGAGCATAATTTTACACTGAGATTTTGAATGAAAATATCACAACTTCCTTAAAAATCGTTTAAAGTTACAACATCACCCCAAACAGCACTGCCATACTTGAAAGGGGAGAGCACTAGTTCCTCCTGGCAGATCTCTCCATCTAGTTTCTGCCATTCTTCCTTAGCACCCATCGAGCAGTTTGGCAAAGCTGTCTTACCTCGGAAAAATTAACTGCCAAGGGGATAATTCCTGCCACATAGCAGGCGACCAGCATGGCCAGAGACAGCAGGCAGATGGAGCGGAAGTCATCCATTTCGCCGCTTTCTCTCCGGGTCCCTTAAAGTGAAATTCAACAGCAACTTTTCCACCTCGCCCCGCACGCCTTAACCCGTGCAGACACCGAGCTCCCAGGAAAGGCTTTCAGCCATGTCTCTCTCGCCCGGCGAATCCGGTGGCCCCTCTGGGTACGGCAGCCGCTTTCCCACCGGGGCCACCCGGGGGGGGTGGGTAACGGGTGGTGCTGCGGGAAGAGAGCGGCCCGGCCCGGCCCCGCGGCAGGCCTAGCCCTCACCTGAGGCAGCAGGGCCTTGCCCAGCACCCCACTGTCCCTGAGGGGAGGGAAAGCAGAGGGCGCCGAGGCGGCTCCTCACGGAAGGGCACCCTGAGGCGGGCCGCGTCCGTGGGGCGAGGGCTCCGGGAACCTTACGGGACTGACAACGCGCCGCCACCCGCCCCCGCCTCGGAGGCCAAAGTGGCACCTCCGCGACCCAGCGCTTCCCCTTCCGGGGTTCACGTCGATCCCCCCCCCCACCGCTTCTTCCCGGCTTCAAGATGGCGGGTCGGAGCCGCGGCGGGAAGCGAGCGGCTCCCTCAGCAAAGATGGCCGCTTCCCGGCATCCTCAGCGCCCCCCCGCCCTGCGTGCTGTGCCGGCCGTTAGCGCGGCGCTTCCGGTCGGGCGCGGGGGGTTGTGGGGGGAATCGTCGCGCGCCTCTTCTCCGCGGCGGTGCTGAGGGAGCGGGAGCCGTGATGGTGAGCGGGGCGGGCGGGCCGGGACCGGCGGCTCCTCCTCGCCCCTTCGAGCCTGCTTAAAGGGGGGGAGCCGGCGCGGCACAGGGGAGTGGGGCGGGCTGCTTTCTCTTCCCGCTGGGGTAGGCAGGCACGGCGAGCGGGAAGGCGCGGCGAGTGGCGGGG